CGTTTACTATCGGATGCAATGTTGCAGTTCGATTTTCATCGAATGACAACGATCTGCAACATTAACTTGACATAAGCGCGGATATTCCCTTTATATGGCATTAGCGAGAATACAAAATCGTCGAAAGCATTCAGGAGGCTCCAGCGGTTGAATAAGTGATTCATTAACAGGCAATGTTGCCACAATGTCAATCATGAGTACGCCATGAGCTCACTACAGCAGATGAGGTACAGGATAATTATGAAGGAACTTCCGCACTTCAGTGCATAATATCTCGAAAATGACAGGAAACTGAAATCTCACAGGGGTGCTACGGGGACCATGCGCTCAAAGATGCCACATTTGCCACCTGGAGCGCCACTGTGGCATATTTTGTATATTGCCTATACTTTCGGGAGTATAAATAGGACTGTCGGTTGCAGTTCCGCTCAGTCAACCAACATGAAGCTGATAACTCTTACAGATTTAGTGAAATTTTACTACACCCAAGGACTTTCCCTTTCTTCAACCCCTCCCCCTCCCCCTCTTCCTACGTTAAGTCTAGACCCTAGACCAGGGGTGGGAAAAATACGGCCCGCGGGCCGTATCCGGCCCGCCAATTGATTTCATCCGGCCCGCCATTATGTCTAGCAAAAGGAAAATTTTTTGTTCTTTTAGTTCCAGAAAGGGCCAGTTTTAATCCGCACAGCTGCTGAGCTAGCTCGTTTGTCATAATTAGGTCCTAAATGCCATCCACACCCACAGCCTGAAGACGGATTCAGTGGCGATTTTCTTAAAGCTAGGGAGGGGGTGGATCATCCCAAGATACAGATCACTCAGTATGCGACTTCTCAGACAAAAAGTCCGGCCTGGTGACCCTTTTTATGGCTCTGTTGAGTCTCCTGCCAAACTGTGACAGGCTTTAAGAAAATAGGGCAGATACAGCAGATAGGAGGAAAAAAAAGCGTCCCTCTCGGGTATTTGTGCGGGATTTGGCATAGCAGCAAGACCATTCTTCGGCTCGCCGCATCTGATGTGACCTCTGTGACCTGACGCAAGTCATGGTTTAGCGTAGAGGGGGAGACTGAGAGGGTGAGACTGGGATGGTAATAAGTGAAGCAATTTGACAGCGACACGTGAGAACAGGGCTGAAGACTTACACTGCAAACCGACTCGCATTTTTTGTGCAACAATTTGCGAATTGTGGTATTTATATCACCCGCGAATAGTGTGTGTGAATTCGGAAATGAGCTCATCAAAGAAGAGGAAAGTGGACACTGAATGCCGAATATTCAACAACGAATGGACTTCTAAATATTTTTTTACCGAAGTGGGTGGGAAACTGTGTGCTTAATTTGCAACGAAAAGTGTGGCAGTGTTCAAAGAATACAATTTGAATCGCCATTTTGAGAGCAAGCATGCAAGCAAATATACTAACTTTTCCGCTGAAGAAAGGGCAAAGAAAGCCGATGAGATGGTTGCTCGAATACAAAAAGAACAAAGCATTTTCACAAAACAATCGGCGTCCCAGGATGGGATTACGAGAGTGAGCTACGTGATTGCACACAAAATCAGCAAGCCATTCTCCGAAGGAGAATTTATGAAGGAATGTATGGTTGACTCCGTCGTGATTTTGTGCCCAGATAAGAAAAAGCAGTTCGAGAGCATCAGCTTGTCAAGGCGTACTATTGTGAGACGTGTCGAGGATATCTCCGAGAACCTGCACCTGCAGTTGAAAAGCAAAGTAAGCAATTTCTCATATTTCGCACTGGCACTCGATGAGAGTTGTGATGTCAAAGACACGGCCCAGTTGATGATTTTTATTCGGGGGATCACCGAAAATTTCGAGCTCACTGAAGAGTTAGCATCAATGCAGTCAATGAAAGATACGACAACTGGAGAAGACCTTTTGGAGGCAGTAAATCGGTGCATCTCGAACTTAAGAGTGGAATGGAAAAAATTGGCGAGTGTGACCACCGATGGAAGCCCAAATCTGACAGGAAAAAATGTTGGGTTGTTGAAAAGAATTCAAGATCAAGTCAAGGAAACAAATCCAGAACATAATATTATTTTTCTTCACTGCATTATACACCAAGAGGTCCTCTGTAAGAGTGTTCTAAAACTAAGCAATGTTGTGGACACAGTTACGAATGTGGTCAACTACATTCGAGCGAGAGGATTAAACCACAGGCAATTTTTAACTCTGCTCGAGGAATTTGAATCCGAGCACATGGATGTCCTCTTTCACAGCAATGTAAGATGGCTTAGTTTGGGAATAGTTTTGAAAAGAGTGTGGGAATTGAGAGCAGAGATTGCTTTGTTTTTGTAAATGAAAGGAAAAGATTCGGATTTCCCACAGTTGAATGATGTGGATTGGCTCTCTGATTTTGCATTTGCCGTTGATATCATGGGGCACATGAATGAACTGAATTCAAAACTGCAAGGGAAGGGGCTTTTTGCTCATGATTTGTATTCCTGTGTCAAGTCATTTATGACGAAATTACTCCTTTTCTCCCGTCAGATAGGAATGAAACAGTTCCCCCACTTTCCCACTTTGCAGTAAAACTGCAAGGGAAGGGGCTTTTTGCTCATGATTTGTATTCCTGTGTCAAGTCATTTATGACGAAATTACTCCTTTTCTCCCGTCAGATAGGAATGAAACAGTTCCCCCACTTTCCCACTTTGCAGCAGATTACTGTTTGTGATCAAAACCTGAAAAAGTACACGTCGTCCCTGCTCGACTTGCATGCTGAATTTTCTCGCCGATTCGAGGACTTCAAAATGATCGAAAATGACCTGTCTTTCGTCTCCTCACCTTTCTCCTTTGATGTTGACAAAGCCCCATTTGACCTCCAACTCGAGCTAATCGACCTGCAATGCGATGCACTGCTTGCAGAGCAATTCAAATCAGTGCCGCTTCCTAATTTTAAAGTACACGTCGTCCCTGCTCGACTTGCATGCTGAATTTTCTCACCGATTCGAGGACTTCAAAATGATCGAAAATAACCTGTCTTTCGTCTCCTCACCTTTCTCCTTTGATGTTGACAAAGCCCCATTTGACCTCCAACTCGAGCTAATCGACCTGCAATGCGATGCACTGCTTGCAGAGCAATTCAAATCAATGCCACTTCCTAATTTTTATGCCTCCCTCAATGAACTGACCTTTCCAAGAGTTAAAGCTCATGCTCGGAAGATGATCGTGCTATTTGGATCAACATGCATATGCGAGCAGACATTTTCTGTGATGAAATTCAATGAAATTCAAAACATAGACCTGCGATGACCGATGACCACCTATCAGCAGTGCTTCGCATTGCAACAACTGAGATGATACCTGATTTCAATTCCCTCGTTAATGCACATCAGCGCCTTCATTCTTCCCATTGAGTGAATTCCTCGCATTCTCATCAGTATGTGAATAAATAAATAAATGTCTGCTCAATGATTTGTTTTTCTTTCGCCAAGTTTTCAATAAATGTCAATTATATTCTTCATTTTACGTACATAAAAGTGTAAGAGTACATTGAGCTATTTTTATCCAATTGCCTCTTTACACACGCTTGCGGCCCTCGAAGCTCATCAAAACTAATGAAGTGGCCCTTTAGCCAAAATAATTGCCCACCCCTACTCTAAGGGCTCCAATACGACCTACTCTCAAGCGATCTCACCGATTTCCATTGCAGACAATCTAAGGAAAGTTATTCTTGTTGGAAGGACTTCCATAATACAGTGGAACTGATGAGTAATATTTTTCATAATCAGTCTATGTTAATAAGATCTATGACTATGGAGTTCTGGAATATTAATATTCAATAAGTAGTACAAGGAACGGCATAACTACTTTAGAGGAAAAATAAAGCAAGCACCGCGAAAAATTCCATGTCCATTCTGCGGTTGAAAGCGAGTAAATATAAACATGACGCAATGTGATGCAATAGTGAGTGCTGCAATATTTTCACAGTCAGACCCGAAAGTTTGATGGCAGTTGGGTGGCTTTCACGATCGTCCTTCCCGGCAACCGCCCTCAGTCCTTCCGAGACCCTTCGACTGAAGCAGAAGAGCAAGCAGATTTTCTCGTCTTTCAAGGGGGACTGATTGGCAGATGTTCGGACTTTAGCAAAGACTCGCTGGTTCGGGCAAGGGAGAGCCTTTGCTCAAACATTGATCTCTACGCGATTACGACCCTGATGAGGGGGAAAGGGTCTCCGATCGGTCGCGGGTAAAGATTTCGAGTCGTAACGATCCGGTCGAGTATTATCAGCGCGTTCATCGGACAAACAGGCGGGAAGCAAGCGAACTCTTGCTGATATTTACATATTAATGAAGCTTAAGTCGATCCATCTGCGCGGGAGCAATGCGTTCCACGACAGGACGAGTAAATGAATATTTTACACGCACCATGTCATATGTCACATGTCACATTTCGCAGACCAAAAGAAGAATTTTTAAATTCAGCTTTCCTCTGAAAAGCCTTGCCTCCTTCCGGAGATTCGAAAATCACCATTATTTAGATAAAAAATCAGTAAATGTCCATGATTTGCCTGAGAAAACGCCTTCCGTGCGTTTCGTTCATTCAATGAAATGAGATTGAGACTGTTCAATCGAAAGAATGTGAAACGCTATCATCCAAAATTTACAATTCAGGAAAATACCGGCATTCCAAGTTAAGTTTGGATATTAGGTCACGTGCGACGAGGAAATTCAAATGATTCCCTATGCCGGATAGGAATTTAAAAAGCAAACTTACTCGCAATGTTTAATGGCGACGTTATCCCTCTTTGTGTTGCTTCATTGAGGTCAGTTGGTGCTGATGATTGATTCAGATGCGTAGGATGAGGCTGTTAGGGACGAATGGTTTTACGTTGCACCCATGGATTCATTATGGCGGGACTTGCGTTAAATTCCGGGTACCTGTCAGACGATGTTGAGCAACGGCGCCACTATGGCAACTTAAAACAGAAAAAAAACCTCTCGAGAGTTTAACTCATTCTTAGTCTGTTTTTCTAAAATATCAAACGTTTGAAATTTAACAGGTCTTTGGGGCGCGAAGGTGTCGCAGAACAGAAGTTTCGTCCACTATTTGGGAAGAAAAATGATTTTCGAGAGCAAACCCAGCAATGACGAGGGCTTGGACCAGTATCTTCTCCATTACGTCTTGTGGAACGAAGCCAAAGAACACTTCGTGAGTCCCGTCCATCTTCTAGTGGCTGCAACCGCATCGAAGGCCATCCACCCTCTCGGTTGCAGATGGTGCACGCCAGCTTCACCTGCGACGAGTTCGTCGGCGGGGTGACGAGACCCTATCCGACCCGTCGGGAAGGAGGCTTCTGGCTCGGCTCTGGCACCAAACACGCTCCGCTAGTGAAGGAGTGCCCGCTGAAATGCAGGCCGAAGGAGCACCCCGACTGGGTCAATTGCTGAGGTGGAAGCGAGGCCGCCGCGCTGAAATGAGCTGTCAATCATTCCCTCTAGGCTAAATGAACCCATAATTCATGAAATGCCAGTTTTCTTTATAACGATTACAGACTGCTTTCCTCGTGTGTCCATTGAAACTGAAACTTTTTTGTGCCGCGGTATCAAGGAGCGCCCCAATACCAAATATTTAATAATAATATGCGAAAAATCATCTCGAGTGGTCCTTGCATATCTACCTGAATCGGCCCAAGTAGCCATGATTGAGCCGAAACTCATACTAAGACAGTCTGGTTGTCCAGATAATGAATAATAATCCAGATGCAAGCTTCCTTTGGATGTGCATAAGATGTCACCATCGTGGATGGATATTTTATCAAAATGAGCTTCATCTGGCCAGAATTACCCCACATATTCCCTCAATAAATCCCAGTTTCATGGAATGATTATTGACCGAGGCACGCTGAATGCTGCGACCGGAGCGAAGCAGGAGGTTCGGAAGAAATTTGTCGAACACGTGGAATCGGCCAAACGGCCCTGCCACCAAAGTGCTTCGGCAACCCATCCGAAGGTTACGAGAAAGGAGGCAATTTCGTTTGTCGAAGAACCGAAACGGGGGGCGTTGGCCGCCGAGGCGGATACACTTCGGAGACGGAACACTTTCTGTTTAAACCCGCCAACAGTTGACACTGCCTTAACCGACTTGGAGCCTCTCAGCGCGGAGACTCCTCTCACCATGGAGGAGGTTCTGCTGACAGTCCTCAGCCTGAAGAATGGGAAATGGGCTGATACGGATGAACTCTGGGAAGAGGCGCTGAGAAAATTGAAGGTTAGTTGGAAGATAATTTAATCAGGAATGCCATAGGGAGATTTGTTGTACCAGTTAGAAGGTTTTTTTTATGTTGCCAAGGGTGTTTTTGAGGGAATCTAGGCATCTAATTTATATAGACGATCGTGACTGACTGACTGACTGACTGACAGACTGACGCTAATTCTAACCATGTTCTAGAATGGTTAGAAATCTGAAACTTGGTACACATGTACCTTTTAGGATGTGGAGTTCAGAAAAAATCCGACTTCGGAGATACATGCCCTGGGGGTACACATTTTGGTGGGAAAGGTTTTCCTGAAATATATTTTGTGACAGATGAGGATGGCATTCAGAGTATCAACTGGATGTGCAGGGTTTGGTGGTGTAGCATTGCGGACTGGTAATCAAAAGGTCTGGGTTTAATTCCCGGCTATTCCTAGGCTTTCTTTTGGCTTTTTTTGCCTTCCATATCCGGTCACTCATTCCCCCACCATAACATTATTTTTGCTTCAGTAAAACGGAGTGACATGGAAAGCTGAAACTTTGCATGAATGTCACAACTTGGACAAGGAGTTAAATAAACATGCTAAATCTCGATACATCCCCAGGGGGAATTTTTTCGAGGTGCGACTTTTTCAAGAAAAAAATTGTCGTGGCGAATTGGACAGAAATGGAAAGGTGAAACTTGGAATACGTTTAAGTGACATGATATTACTGAGCTGAGGGAGTATTCAGCTTTCATGGTGCATCCCCTCCGGGCATAGCTGTTGGGTGGGTCGGTTATTCCAAACATGCTTTTTCACCAGCGGAAAGCGCAAATGTATAATATTGAAACTTTGTGGGCATGCAATTCACTGAGGATGCATTTCGGTAAAAGAAAGAAAAGAAGATACTTTTCGGTGAAAACGGCTCCGGGCACATATTTTGCAAATGGCATTTTTTCCGATCAGGAAAACAGGGCGCTAGAAGTTTCAACTTGGCAAAGAAGTACCTGATGGATAGCTGAGTAATAAAAAAGTTATACTTTTATTATACATAGACGAACGTGAGTAGCTGACTAACTGACAAGTAGCTATTCGCATGCTTAGTCCAGGAATGATTATACTTTGGTGATGCATGGCAAAAGGGTGCACCTTTTCGGGGAACATATTTTCAAATAGTTTTCTTTGCTTCAACCAAACGGAGACACATGGAAAGATGAAACCTTGCAAGAACGTGACCGCTGACGCACTGAGCTCAAATGTCAAACGTCAAATTTCCAAAATATTTTCAGGGTTCATATTTCTTGGGGACGTAACGTTTTCAAATAATTTTTCATTTCCTACCGAAACGGGCAGAAGTAGAAAAGTAGCTGGCGCACGCATAACGGACGTGATGTTCATTTAAGGAAATATTCGGCTTTTGTTGGGCATCTCCCCAGAGCACAGCTTTTGGGTGGGTCGGTTTTCCAAATATATATTTCCCGCCAGCAAAAAAGGGGAAACGTATAAGGCTGAAATTGAGTGGCATGGAGTTCCCTGAGTCTACATTTCAAAAGAAAACAAATTTTCGTTAAAACTCATCAGGTCACTTTTTCATTCCCGTTTTTCTGAATATTTTTTAATACAATAAAACAGAGACAAGAAATACAATCTCCAACAGAAGTATCTGTTTAATGGCTGAGTACAGGAAAAATCTTACTTTTGAACTATCTCCTTACCATAGATTAATGGAGGGAAGTATTTCAAAATGTATTCTCCAGACTTCCAAAATGGGACACAAGGAAAAGTTTAAAGCTAGGCACACATAGAAACATATAAGTATTGATTTTGATAAAAAATAAAGACTTTCGAAGCCATATGTCACGTATTTCAATGGGGACGTACTTCAAATACGTGTTTCCCATTTCGCAAAAAATGAATGAATACTGATTAGACTATACAAGGTAAAGGGGCGCCGAAGGCGCGACCATAACGAGTTTGTTTGCCCTTCGGGCAAACAAACTCGCTAGTAGAGAAATAAATCTGACTTTAATAGTCCCACATGGTAAAACATAGTCAAATTCTGGTTTCGTCGAAATTGGTTTCGTCAACATTCGGAAACTATTGATAAACGACACCTTTATTTATTTTTAGCCAGACAAAAGCAAAAAAAATTGAAAAAATTAGTATTCGGTCATGTCAAGTCGATCCCAAGAGACCACATTCTCTGTACTGCTGAGGAAATATAGCCACTCCTCAACGAAAAAAAGGTGTATAAGCTACCTATGGAGAATTCTTGAACATACTGAGTACTTGAATATAGAAAAAAATTGAGGACAAGGAAAGAAGTCGGTATCATCGCCAAGAATCCATGCTGCCTAAACCACGGTCCAGCGGATTGAGTTTCGACGGTTCCCTACATGAACATTGGAAAGCAAAAAGCACTATTGGCTGGTGCTGAAACAATTCACGATTTTAAATGTTATATCTGGCAGTATCACGTCCTTTCACCCTGCTGTGCTCAAATTTTTTAAAATTAAAGTTCGTGCTTAAACTTATTTGAGCCAACAAGTTCGGATTCATACGTGAATCAGAAGAGTTTGCTACGCATCCAGAAGTAAATATGTTTATATGAGAAGCTTAAAGTGAGCATTCTAAATTTTGGCGCTGTCACACAGATAACAACCTTGCCATCAAAGCTTCATGCAGAATTAACGAGAGAGAGACGAACATTATTGACTCGTTGACCGCGTTCATTATTGGTATAATAAATAACGATTTCTTTCCATACCTCAAGCAAGCGTGGCAGTGTCTACGGTTTTGTCTCCCAGAGCGAAATCCACATCGAAGCTGATTTGCTTCGATGTGGAGTTGCGATGTGGAGTGGAGGATGGCCTGCAACGTTTTCATTGGGTTTATGGAAAAAATAAAATTGTATCGCTGGTGGAATCGGTGCTTCACAAGCAGTGATTTTAAATGAGAATACATTTCGTTTGTTGAATGAAAGCCTTTCTTTGCATCATCATGCACTTCAGTTATTCTTCCTCAACATGCATGGGAATCCGAAACTCGAGTCGCCAATAGACATCAGGAAATATGAAAAAATGCATTCTTCCTCATCTTCTTCCTCTCCAACACGGACCCATAGCTACACTTCGGAACGCTCCATAATAAATGAATTTTGCATAAATGTTGGCGGTAACCGAAGTCTGTACGCATACATTTCGATGCAACAGAAGTAGGCATATATACCCGACCTACACAAGTGGAATGAAATTAATCCCTACCTGTCGTGCAATAAATATATTTTACATGTGATGCGTTTTCATCCCATCAAATTTTCGATACGATAAAAGCGCTTCACATGGAGGGCAAATTGTCCACGATAAAAATACCGTTAAAATTCAGGACAACAGCGCAATTTGATGCCCTGAATAATTATGTGTGTATGGCGAAAGGTAATATCAATACTGGAGCCTCATCTTTGCAGAATATCACAAGGTACATCAAAATGATCCCATTTCCACATTAAAAGGTCATTCATCTGTCACGAAATTACTTACCCGCAAGCATAAAAATCTCTGTTGACTCACCGCCAGAGATAGATGGATTCTCCCGGACGTTTCATCTTCATGCAGTTCATTACACCTGCTTCAGTGTAGTCTGCTTGATGTGCATGAAGGTTATCGGTCCCCTCGCATGGCAGCAACTACCGACGGCCGTCTAGTGTACCTTCCACTGTCACATGTAAGTGGGTTTCAATTTCACCTCCTCGATTACATGGGTAGATATGACTTGTTGTGCATGACGGCTAAACATTTGCAGGCGCAATAATTGCCATCTGTTACATCATCTCCGCCACGAAGAGCTCTGACGGTGTCGACAGCCGGCTGAGTGGATGGAAACCGAATCTCGAGGGGGATCCTGACGGCGAATTCTTCGGTGAATAAATAAAACACTTTCCCCCCAAAAAACTTTCTCCTTCAGAGATGCACAACGGTAATATCATTGATTTTTCTTCTGCCTTGACGAACTTTTTTCTCATTCACACGGAGGCATAGTTCACACACAATTCATGCAAAATGTACACGTTAATTCCATGATGAAAGGAAAGACATGCACTATCAATATAATCTGATGACGATGACGATAACGACATCCAATAATGCACTGGGGAATACTCGCGTCTCCTCGTCGCAGAATGCACGGCTCCAAGATCGTTATCACAAGGCACGAAGGTTCCAAGCTTCATACCAGCATATCTACTGCCTCCGAGTTCTGAATCATTAAATGCATCGGCTCGGAGAAGGTTATCGGAGAGCATACCTTTTCCCCATGAATAGCTTCAGTTCCTCGTGAAAATGCGTTCTCGTACGTATTCAGACACTGTTGACGCGATGGCAAGGGTGAGTGGATCTTTCCCGATCTTCTTCCGCATCAATGAGACAGGTTGGCATTGTTCCTCTGTCGACTGTGGGCCTATGAACCACTTTTCAAGGTGACGTAATGAAGTGAGTTTTGACCCTTGCATCTCTGGCGTCTCTGAGTTTACACACTCATGTCGAGGTCCAAGTTGGTGCCAAACTCATATGAAATGTACATCTTCAACGATGCTGAAAGGAAACACGCGATGTGCGCGAAAATGAGGAAAGTACGTTTTAGGACAAAAAAAAATACTGAACCCTCGTCGGTGCAAACCATCGTCGTTCTGACAGGTCAATCGGGGTTCACAATGGGCTGTAGGCTCATGAGGGGCTCCTCACATTCGCGACATTCAAGAACTGGCTCTTCTGGGCCGTTTCAAGTTCCCGAAATGATGAATTTTTTTTTGTTACGTTAATTTCTCTGGGGTCCCTGGTGCAGGCCCAAATGTCAACACTCGACTATCAGCTCTACAAGATGGGCATGCAAGTCGTCGGTCCCGTCGCGGAGCTTCAACTACTGACGTCCGTCGAATGCGCCTTTCACTGTCACACGTAAGTGAGTTGTAATTTCCGCTTTTGAATGATGAGTCGAAATCACTTCGCATGACGGCAGAAAGGAAAATACATTTCTAGGAGCAAGAATCCCATCTGCTACACCTTCTCCGCCTCTAAGATCTCCGGAGGCGTCGACTGCCGGCTGAGTGGATGGAAACCGAACCTCCAGGCGGATCCTGACAGCGAGTACTTCATCCTGAAAATTCCAGGTGACGTCATCAATATATTCCTTGTCTTCATTCAAACATCTCAGTGAAATATTCACTGAGTAAGGATTCTTCTAGGCACTGTGAAAGAGTATGGGTTGGAGTTTAATTAAGTAACCCCGTTTTTTGAATATGTTTTGCTTTTTGGAATTGCTTTCATAAGTCCGGCTAAACATATTTAGGTTAAAATACCCGATGATGTTAAATGTGCTATGATGTTAAGGGCCTGTTAAGGACGTGTACTCGGTGATGGGCCACTGCGCAGGGAAATTCCAAATGCTAGGCATTTGTAACATGACGGCCTTTCAAGCGTGCATAAGCATTCGTGTTGCCAGGACAGGTCACTTCACTGGTATGCGCGCTATGGTAGCTTAGCTCTTGGACTTTTCATATGCTGCGGCCCATTACTGAGTCTTTTGCCTTATATGTTCGGAAAGCTATGCAATAACAGTACCAAACAAATGGAAGAATGAGGGAAAAATTGTCTATGGCATTATGGGAGAGTATCCTTGAGAAGTTTTTTTTCATGAACAAAAAGTTCTCATCTTCCAGTTATGCCACTTTGGGTGCGAACGACTGAGTGATGGTCATTTACGAATCGGCCTGAAGCCCGAATGCAAAATTTAGCAAATTTTGTAAATTTACAAACCCCTTTCGAGAGGATTGGAAGAGAATGTTCCCGGCCAGTAACCTTCTCTTATTCATTCAGCAACCATTCAAGTGAAGCAGATCAACAATGAAGTTCGACGCCGGGTCGGGCCACGTTTCAAATAGGGGATATGGGTTCGGGCTCAGAGAAATCGACGTGCGCAGGTCCTCGGACAAAACAGACATGAAGAAATTAGAGTCTATGCAATTATTAACTAGTTGATATGGCGCCCTACGCGATCCCTCTGCGTTCCTGGCAACTACGCGAGTGGGTGAAAATTAAATTAAATCGTACTTTTTCACAGCTCCTGGTCGAGAAATTGCATTTTGGTTTAAGAAAAAACTGCGAGTTTCACCTTTTTCGGATTTTTCTCTTTAACCATTCATCGATCTGAAATTTACGAACTCTCGAGGGGAAAACGACTTGGGCCGAGGAAGCAGTATCCCACATTACCCAAAATGCTTGGCTAGGCAATGGCCCCTTAATGGCAACGCTGTCAGATCGTCGGCATTGGCAGGCATGCTTGGCCCATTCATGGGTCCAGCTTTGGCGAGCTATTTTTTGGCACTTCATTGATGGAGGACAATGGCTGATTCATTGTTCTATGCTGCTTTGTCATTAGGTGCGCAAAGTTACCAAAAGACACAAGCCCAATTAAGGCTCCAGGTTGGCTTGATATTAATATCAGCTTATAATGGCTATAGGCGATATTACATCACCAACATTGTCAATTTTGGGGAAGCAATGTATCCCCTACATCCCCCTGCCATCATTGATCCCATATCGAACGGATGAGACTTTTAGATGAGGCTTTGTTATGCTTGGAAGTTTAAGGGAAATGAAATTCTCCTTTAGGTCACTAGATGGCAGCGTGGTTCCTGGTTTTTGCACAGTACCCACATGTACCCTTCCTTTTCTCCCTATATTCATCCTTCACAGCAGTACTTAGTATTTCAGCATATATTTCGTCATTTCTCATGAAACAAATACTCAAAGCTGCTGTTTCTTCATTTATTATCTCCATTTTCGAGACAGATTCATAGAGCACAGGAATTAAACAAGCTAATATTCCATGTAAGAGTCCTTAACTGTGATTGTGTATGTTTTACTAGAGCCATAGCTATGATGTTGTCAACGAACTTAATCCATCTTCACCATCTCAAGAGGATTGGATGGGGGCTTTCGTCGTTTGATTTCGTGTACATTTCCTTGAACAACAAAGAGCATCACCACAAGTGTACCATGTTTGGTACATGTACCAAAACCCTCCTTCTTCACGATCTCTTTATTTTTTCCCTTAATTCCAATGATTGGCCGGGCAATGGAAGAGTGAAGCGACGTCACTCGACGCTCATCGCGTAATGAATCATTCTTGGACTAGGGGTCACGCATCAGTATGCCTCTACACACTTGTTCCTTGCCGGAGTGGGATGGGTACCTCCATTTTCTGCAGTTCTCCAACAGAAACTTTGTCTACTTTCAGGGATTCATGATTTCCCATTAGTTCACACATATTTTCACAAACTCCCATCCACAAGCTCCTTGTCGTGAGGTATTAGCGTTTTGGAAGGTCTTGAGGTGCTTCGTTGTTTGTATCACCTGCTCGGAAACGTCTTACTCATGTTTTCGCTCACGTATAATTTATGCAATAATTAGCATCAACGAACTGAATGAGACTAGGAAATTTCAACGCACATTCCACAATTTTTTCACAAAGTCAGTGATCGGTTGTTGCTTTATTGGTAGGGAATTACAACCCTTCATTTGCTATCAACTGCGGAGCGTCCTGCAAGAAAAGTGTATCAGTATCCATGAGTATTAAATTAACATTTTCAGATGAAGCTATATCAGGCCAAGTTTTTCTAAAAATTTGTACTACTGCGAAATGAGCCTAAAATCAGAACTTTCAGAACGGCCCTCATCATGACAACGAATTTTGAAAGGACTTCTTGGAACAGCAAGGGCAACGAGCAATGTCAATCTTGAGAGGATCTCCATGAGCATTCCATACATATTTTACTGGCGGGTTCCTCTCTCTCTTATCGGCAGGAATCGTGGAGGACGATCATTTCTCATCTATGACTTTATTTACGACTTCTAGAGAAAGGAAAATTAGCTTACTTTCCTTGCACCCTAAACAAGATATCTTCGGCTATGCACAGGTGCAAGGCAGGTCGAGTTACACACACAGAACAAGTTGGTCTGGTTACCAAGACATCACAATAAAGTAGCCATGCGTGCTCATTGTTTTTTCTTTTCAATTAGGTAATATTACCGTCTTCTGAAGTGCTGCGTGGTAGAGTCATCATTCACGGGTGGTCATATTACCATTGATACGGTATAAATTTCTTTCCGACAGCTCACGGTTTCGCGAGATTCACCTGATGAAAGTTCAAATCGGTAACCTTACTAACTTCTTGGTAGAAGTACCATTTGAGACTCATTCTAAGTGGGTACCAATCATGGCTTGGTTACCGTGGAAGGAGCACCCAATTACCTTGCTCTTGTAATTTTACCAGGAGAGCGGCGCTAGCACCGCTGCAGCAGTTTGGAAAATAATGGCAGCATGTTGTGATAATTTCCAATTCTGAGTCTATCGCAAACACTTGAGCCAATAAATGTAGGAGAAGCTCCGTCTCCCTACACAGACAGCCTCGAAAGGTAAAGTAACAAGGATATGAGGGTGGTTTTTGGACTGGTAACTTCACCGTCACCTTACTTGGTTTTCGTACCTTCAAAATGTGTCTGTATGACTTCGTGAAATTACATTTGCTGCAGCGCAGAGGAGAGACGAGGTCACACGGATACGTTTTGAAGGTAAGATAACCAGGTAAGATGACGGTGAAGTTACCAGTCCAAAAATCACCCTAATTGTCTTGTTACATTACCTTCCGAGGCTGTGTGTGTACCTCTGGAGGCAAATTAATTGAAACGTGGAAGAGGGGAGAGGTCTTAATTCCTAAAGGCAATTAACTGCGCGGGATAAGAAACGGGAGATATCTTTTCGGGTATTGTAATATGTTATAAGTATTAACAGACGCGGTTGCGCCCTATTACATTTCTTCAACCACTTTCCGTTGGAAAATTCAACCTCCTTGTATTCCTCTCTGAAAAGAAACTCCGAAATTTGGGCTTTGCTCTCTCGACACAGAATCGCTCCAGCAATTTTGAAACTCTATCTCTACCAGGTTGTGGAGAGAAAATGTCACTTATTGAATTCGTGAATTACATTCCGTTATCCCCCCCCCCCCCCCTTGGGTAACCACTCCTGGGGAGTTTCCGAAAGAAAGCGACCAACAAAAAAAAGGGGCTGACCTGTAGCTAACGAAAAATGAATTTTTGCCGTTTGCGGTGCACCATTTCGCCATAGAAAATGAAAATAGCTGTCATTAATTTAGGCTAAAAGTGATGACTCCAGACCCGCTCCCGGTGTTGCCGGATATCACGCCAGAGCTATGTCATATTCATGACCTCTTAGTCATGAATCCCAAGTCTCATTGTCTGGATCTTTTCCATTTTAATAAATGAAATGGTTTTATGAGATGAGCTGAGATGAAAAGGTGGTAAGCAGTGGCCGATCGACGTAGTGGGATATAGAGATGTTGAATCCTTGGATATATCCCTGGATAAACATGATGGCGCCTGGCTTGTATGGGATGCTTTCTGGAGCCATTCACTCTTCAGAACTAGTCGAGTTGATTCGAGGAACTCTAGATAGGTCTAACGTTCCACGTCCCCACCACTGAAACGGTTTATGAAACGCGAAACAGGCCTCAAATCGGTCTAACGTTACATTTCCTCTCTGAAATGGTTCGTGAAGGTATGAATAGGCCTGCGATTGCCTTGACATTACACGTCCTCAACTCAAAGCCCATGGTTTCATCCTTAAAGGGCTAAATGCCACTGTAAGTCGAGGGTTGAATTTCATTTGAACGAGTAAAGCTAGGCCTAGGCCCGACTGGAGCACAATCCTTCATTTGGGCTTACACCAAAAGTTAGTAAATCCCAGAAAGAAGGTGTGGTAGAGTGGCGCTGTGGTAAAAGAAATTGAAAGCCTCCTAAAAATTAAGAGTTCACAAGAGAGATTGGAGAAGCAGTACTATGATGTTACATAACGCATGATGATGGGTATTTATTGCATCAGTTCAAGGGGTGAATCAACTAGTCTGATGATGGTCAAATTTAACACAGGGCTACACAGTATGCCCTTCATCAGGGAGTATGCGCTCAACCATAATCCATGCCCATAGCCAAATGCTTGGGAGGATTTGAAGTTCAGCCCTGGATTTAAAGTTGTACATTATGAAGTCCCATGGAAATGAAAAATTAACTCAACCAGCTATACATGCTTGACCTAACTTAGGTTTAAGTGAGGCATAGACTAGACTAGACTTTAATTCATTTCTGGCCTTGGTTGTTCCATCTGTCCAATCCTTAAGTATATTTAGATGATAGTGCTGATTGGTAGATTAAGACCAACATTAGGGGAAGTGGGAAGGACTTCCTGAAAGACAAAAGCCACAGTTAGGTCATGGAATTATGAAGCTGTAATTTAGGCCCATATGGGCTACCAGTTCTGAGCGATTAGAGTTGGTGTTTAGAGAATTTCATATTTCCTTTGAGTATTAATCGCCTCGGAATCATGGGTTGTGGACAGGAGGCAGGAGAGAGAAATGAGAACTTGTGTGATGAGAGAGTGAAAGGTAGATGGAAGGTATTGTATGACTTACATCCAATTTTCCTTATTCCTTCATCATCGGCCCAGGACTTTAAAGTGGTTAATAGATGTGAATTCAGTGAAGCTGAATTTAGGACTGCGGGTGGTTGGCTGTTTGTGTTCAGAATATACAGTATAAAGTACTAGGTGTATATCTCTTGCATTTTGCAGCCATGCCATGTTTTTTGCTTCTGACTTTCTGTGCAATCTTTACTGAGTTAGAGTGCTGCTCCCTACATGAACTCATGATCTTATAGGTTCTTGTATATATATCGATATTTTTCTCTCAATTGCACTACATTGTTTGTCACCCCATCTTCCTAATTTGGAAAGCAGCTTGGGAAGTTAAGATCCTTGGTTTCCACTAGAGATGCAACGACATTAAATTTTGGCCGATATCCGATATACCGGTAATTCCGATATTGGGAAAGAACTGATACTGATACCAATAACCGATACCGATATCTATATCTACATTTATATTCACACATTCAGGGTAGATTTTGAACAGTGAAATATCCGATAATGCTGCTTTATTTTCAGAAAATACCATATATTTTCCCTAGAATAAAGCTGCCTGATCGGATAGTCCTCTGTTCAAAAATCCACCCTCAGGCATTAACCCTCCACTGTTTAGTTTTATTTGGGACCCGGTCTGATGGGGAAAGCTTGAGGTGCACCAATGGTGCACCTCATGCTTTTACCATTTCTCCAATAGTGAGAAGAAATGTTTTCTTCATGCTGAAGCCAGGCTCTTCAATGTGCATTTTAAAAATATTACATTGGATTTGCATCAGGCATTTTCTTTCCTATGTTCCATCCTAGAACTTGCAATAAGATGGAATAGCAATTAATTTTTTTTTCCAAAGTAGCACTCAGTTCAGAAGATGTAAAGAATGTCAAAGTTCCCTCCTTCATTCCTCTAATGGACACCCAGACAGACATGACTGACAAATTGTTAGCACATGAGATAATTTGCCATGAAGATGAAATGCGAACATAACTGCTTTTCAGGAAAATTTATAAGGCAATCAATCATATTTATTATATTACAGAAGTTTTTATCTACAAATATATTTATGTAATACATTATGTTATATATATTCAAATATAAATGATGACATTAATAATGTTTTTAATAAATTAGGGCTGCACCGACATATTGACAACCACAGAGTTTGGCCTCTGGTGTTGCACCATTGACGCCATGGCTACGGTAAGGTTGGAAGCTGTCGATGCCGAAGCCCGAAGGAGGGCAAAATGCAAAAAAAACTACGTGATTGTGTGAGCGCGGCTTGGCGCTTGCCCTTCTGTCTCGGTGAAAGCCTTCCCTGCCGCCCTCTCCCAGAAAAAAATATCGATTGGATTCTAGAGGAGTCCTCGATTTACGTCGTTTCGATATAACGTCGCTAACATATACCCCATATCCGTTGCGTCGTTCCGATATAACGTCGCAAATCGAGGACTTCTTGTGTATAATTTAGTCCATGGGAAAATAGGTTTCGTTTTACGTCGTGTTTCCCGGGAACGCATCCACGACGTAAATGAAGGACTTACTGTATATCAGCCCGATAGTAGGAACTGGTGGAGGAAAATAGATGTGAAGACCGTGAAATCATTGCATCTCCTTTTATGCTGTGCATTAGCGAGTGGTGTCGTTAAGCGCTCATATCAGCAATAGGTAACCATGACGGACTCACTGACGGACGCTGACAGACAGGCTGAAAAGGTCTAAAAGTGGTCTCTATCGTTTTAGGAGACTCATTGATTAGTATCACAAGGTTCCAAATAGGCCAATTTGAATTCGTATGCTATTTCATGCTACTTTCGCAATCTATAGATTATAGATCATAATCAACTCCGGCTCCGGCACTGGTCGATGGGTATGAGTCCAAAATGCGCCATCAGACTACTGGTCAAATGTAGGCATCGGCACAGTCCTAACATGAAAATAACTATGATAAAATTCTTGAAAATCGATGGTTCCAAATGGAACCTCTGGGCACGAAAGAGTTGAAATCAGACGATACTCTAGTGATTTTTGTACCGAGGTTTTGGGATCCATCTAGACCTGGGGTCTTCGCGCTAACACAAGCGATGTCTAATTTCGCAGAAAGTACTGAGTAGGCTACGGTAGTGGCATTAGGCCGATTTAAGCCGATGACGCTGCTCATCTCTCTCTTGGGTGACTGGGTAATGAGCTTATGTCCCGTGACAGGATGGCCTGGGCTCGAACCTAGCCAAGTCAAGTGTATATTTCCTAGTTGAAGCGCCAGCGTGCTTGGGAAAGGAGTACCCGAGCACGGAGCGCTCCCATCTCTAGATATGGGATGTTGAGGAACTGCGGCAGTTAAGGTCGAATCCCAGGGGAATCCCAATCCAAAGGGGAAAAATGCTTACATTTTCAGCAGCCTAATACGTCTTTTTTTAATGAAAACGTGTCACTTAGGTATTTTCAACCTTCTGCAGTGTTTTCACTTGAGTTGAACATTTTTTCACTAGACTTCGACACTCATGCATGAGGAATGTCCCATGAACGTGTGTTCGAATCAAGTGAAATGTTGTCAAATGAGAAAAAGGAGAGAATATTCATCATTCGCTTTACATACTTAGCATTTGGCATGCTTCAGGTGTAATTTCAATATCGGTTATCGTCATGTCATACGAGGGTGTGGCTATTATGTTTCCAGACTTGTTTTATTGCTGAACTTTGAGAGAGTGGAGGGGAGTGGGGCTATGACAGTAGGGGGACAGGAGGGGATCAATAGCTAATAACCGGACAAGTTTCAATGTGGTCTGACCAGTGCGCTGTGAGCTGCGTCCTGTTAAGGTAGACCGTATTTGTGTGCGCTGGCGGATATGAAATGGAGCTTAATTTCGAGCAGAGAACTAAGGCAAATTTTGTGCTAAACTGGGGAAATCCACAACCGAAACGCTCGAAATGTTAAGAAAAGTTTACGGTGATCATTCCATGTCAAGAGCGCAAGCTTCTTGTGGCATAAAAGGTTTAAAGAGGGAAGAGAAGGCGTCAATGACGACCAGCGTTGTGGATAGCCAATCACCAAACGAACACCTGAAAATGTCTCAAATGTTACGGATTTGCTGCGTTCATACAGACGGTTGACAATTAGAATGATAGCCGAAGAGTTGAATTTAGATAAAGAAACTGTTCGATGGATTTTGAAGGGTGATTTGAGCATGAGAAGGATGACAGCTAAAATGGTGCCTCTGTTGCTGACAGCTGAACGAAAACAAAGGCGATTGGACGTTTGTTTGGATCTCTCAGAAAGAGCTGGAGAAGGAAATTTTTTGGAAAGGATCATCACTGGAGATGAGACATGGTGTTATCAATATGATCCGGAAACGAAACGTCAATCCATTGAATGAAGCCCGAATGTCGAAGTCGAAAAACAAGATGATACTGATTTGCTTTTTTTTATGTCAATGGAATCGTCCACCCAGAATTCGTGCCAGAAGGACAAACAGTCAACCAGATGTTGCACGAGAACGTTTTGAAGAGGTTGCGTGAGGCTGTGAGGAGGAAAAGGGCCGATCTGTGGAAGGAGAACTCGTGGATCCTGCATCACGATAACGCGCCGGCTCACACAGCCCTATCTGCCCGAGAGTTTTTGGCAGCCAAACGGGTCACTGAAATGGATCACCCGCCGTATTCGCCCGATTTAGCCCCAAGTGACTTTTGGCTGTTTCTCAAACCCAAAATTTTTTTGAAAGGTCACCGATTTCAAAGCATTGAAGACATTCAAACAAATGTAATGCAGGCTCTGAAAGATATCCCGAAAGAAGACTTCCACCGATGTTTCCAGCAATTGCAGCATCATTGGGATAAGTGTATAAGTTCTGGAGGGGAGTACTTTGAAGGCGATGAATGTGATTAATTTGCAAGTTTAAAAATAAATTTTAACAAATAAAGTCTGGAAACTTCATAGTCACACCTCGCATGTTCTCCACAAGAAACCTGTAGCATACCAAATTGCCCAAGTTCTAGCCCCTCCCGCGTGAATATCCAACTTTCTGCAAACTTGATGAATGTTTATCTTTGTGCTTTGTGCTTTGTGGCTTGAAATAATGCTAGCAATATCCTGAATCAAGTCACTCTCTAAAGAAAAATCGAATAATTACCCGCTCATAATTATCAAACTCAATGTAATTTTGTCGTACATTAAAATTGAAATACTATTTAAGTCAAATTGTGACTCGATTACTCCCACCTCTGACGTATGGGAAGAGTGGCGTCTTGAGGGCATACCTTTAACAGACTCCATCCGAAGAGATTCAACCGCCGTATTCCAGGAATGTCGTCGCAAGTCTACTCCATTCCTTTCATTCCCATCTATTTTCTCCCCAGCCTGTGTTAGTGGAGACTGCAAAACCATAACCATGATAGCCTGCCTAAGAAATACTGTATGTGCATGCAGAATGGAAGATGGAAACAGACTGGGCTGAAGTGGGGCTCTGCCATGCAGGTCAAGCGAGCCAAGACGCGGCACAGACTCTGTAGCGCTTTGGGGAGTGGCCGGACGTCACTCAGGTGATACAAGTACGAGGTGAAGATGTTGAGCACCACCTCCACAGCCACCAGCAAGACGCAGGTGCAGTAGAATTTCCCTAAATGATTCGATAAGGCCGAAAATAGTATTAAAAAATTGCGTGGCATGCATGTTATAGGTTTCTTTCCTGTAGTCTAATTACTAATAATAGACCGTCAATTTCTAGTCAAACCTTGATGGAAACCCTTTAAATTTATTCAAACACGGATGACTACTAAATCGACATAGCTCTTTCCGCTCTACCAAGGGATGTGTGGCATATGGCACTCGGCAACCGAAGTACCCCAAGCAGCATGTTCACGTAAACAAGATATCTATTTTTTGCAAACAATGCAAATTTCTTGCGAATGCCATAAAATTACATCATGTTTACATAAAATTTACGTTCCTATATTTACATCACCAAAGTGTACGTGTATTTTACATCAGCTACACGTCACTCCATCTGACGTGAAGTACATGATATCAAGTTTATGAAAAATTAACACTACACCATCCATATGAAACTTTAGCTGATTCCTGAGTCCAGGGGAGTAGCACCTTCTTCAACACACACTCTTGATAGTAGCTGGCATTGATCTTGGCCTGAGGCTGCACAAAATGCAGGGGAGTTTTGCCAGAAGCACAAACACCACCCCACACCATTACACTACCTGGGTTTTGAACTCGACGGACATATCGATGGTGAGACTTGGAAGAGAAAAGCTTTTTACCCCAGAAGCGATTGTTTTGGGGGTTGTAAGCTTGCTCTACGGTGAAAATTTTTCCGTCAAAAAAAAAACAATCCTTTGGAGTGAGGACTGGTTACCCGTTTGAGCAACTGGCGGGCCTTTTGAACTCGTTTCTTCTTGTTGATCTCTGTAAGCAGCTGCACCTTTTGTTTTTTAAAAGGCTTCATGCGGAGTTTTCCCCTTATGTATCTTCGCATGGTCTCTTTGTCCGCTCTCAAGGTTTGCGCAAGCTTTCTTCCAGAACACTGGATTTCGGTATAGCATTTGCTTGAATTGTTTCTGGAGCTACTTATCCTGGAACGCGGAAGGACGTCCACTTATTTGGCGATCTGCTGCTGACCCAAGCCCATTGTATCGCCAAATAATGCTGTAGGCAGTAGATCCAGGGGTTTTGGTGAGCTTTGAGATCCTGCTTGCTGGAAGACCACTCTGGTTGTGAAAAATCACTGCTTCTCTTTGACGTTTGGGAACTATCAACAGCTTTCGACCTGAAACTTGGAAGGCAAATAGATCTGTAGTAGATGTTGTTTCACTCAAAAAATCACTTGGCTATCATTTGTCCAACAGTTTTTTTCAATAGGTGTCCAATGACTTTTGAGTCACCCTGTAATATCGATGCTCAAGCGTTTTGCTATGAAATGCTAGAATGTAACATCAATGTTTTATGAAGTGATGAAGTTGGGAATCTTAATAGGAATTTTCCAGAAACATTTATTTATATCATGCAATAAGAATATGTAGAGAAACGTACATTTTACAGTCTTGGTGTTGGTGGTACACTGGTGATTGAAAGTTGAATGGATTGGTGCCTATAAGCATATACTCACCCCATCTGGGAGGGTTTAAACACCGAAGATCACCTGACTTGTTCAGTCATTGGCTTATCTTGTAGGTGGGATTTTTTAAATTATTGCCTGGATCATTCACCCTAATGATTTATTCCAGGTTTTTGTGCTAAGCTCCCACCTCATTATTTATTAGGGTGAATGAGATCGTGAAGCTGTGGATACAGTCCAAATATAGGATATGAATTAATATAGTGAAAGGGGTTCCAGATTGTATACTCATACCCATTGCGGATCAAAAGCATAACTTTGCCATTCCTTCATACTTTATTTGGGACATGTCATTGATTTCATATTTACTTAGCATGGTCTGGAAGGTTTGGAAAATTAGTAACAAGTTAACAAAATAATATTGTAGTTAGCTTATTAATGCTGCTTAAGTTATAACGAGCATGGGTATGGGTATGGGTATGGGACTAGTGTGGGTAGTCAGTCACGATCGTCTATATATGTAACTCGCTAGTTAGATATATAGACGATCGTGACTGACTGACTGACGCTAATTCTAACCATGTTTCAGAAAGGTTAGAAATCTGAAACTTCGTAACATGTACCCTTTGGGGTTCAGAGTTCAGAAAAAATCCGACTTTGGAGGTACGTGCCCTGGGGTACACATTTTTGGGGGAGAAGTTTTTTTTAAATATACATCGTGATGGATAAGGATGTCATCGAGAGATGCTACTCTATGTCCCCGTTTCCGTGGTGTAGTGGTATCACATCCCGAGTTCAATTCCCGGCCATTCAATGCCTTTTTTTGGCTTCTCTTGCCTTCCATGTCCCGTTGCTTGAATAAAACGGAGAGACAGGGAACGCTGAAACGTGGCATGGACGTGCCTATCGACACAATGAGTTCAGGAAACATGCAACATTTTTTATCCATGCCCTGGGGGCATATTTTTGGGGCCGACGTTTTCAAGTCTTTTTTTCTGTCTTACTGTATTGAGCTAGTGTGGAAAGATGAAACTTAGTGCATAATTACCTACCGGAATGCTGCGTGCAGAAAAATTCAGACTTTGGAATGAAATGCCCTGGGGGCATACATTTCAAAAGGGAGATGCTTTCACATAATTTTTTTGCATTAGTTAAACCGATGCAAATGGTAAGCTGGAACTTTGCATAAATGTGACTATTGAGGGAAGGAGTTGAATAAAAATGTTAAGTCTCGATACATCCCCTGCGGGAATTTTTTCGAGGGGCGATGTTTTGGCAAAAATTGTTGCGACGAATTGGGCAGAAATGGAAAGGTGAAACTTGTCACACCTATAAGTGACATGATACTACTGAGCTGAGGGAGTATTCAGATTTAATGGGGCATCCCCTCTGGGCATAGCTTTTTGGTCGGTCGGCTATTTCAAGCATGTTTTTTCACTAGCGAAACTGTAGCAGAAGTATTTAGTGCCTACAGCTTTTAAGATGAAAGTTCTAAAAAAAGTTTGTGTTTCAGATTTAAAAGTAAAAACCTCCACAATGAGGCATTGGAGAGGGAAATGGATTTGAGTGAGTTTGATGCTGACGAGTATTTAATAGAATGTTCCGGTGTAAATGATGAGTTTATAAAATACATTGATCATAAACACAATAGTGATTTTCTGAATGTCAGGCCAGAGGTTGTTGCTTCTAGGTTGAGTGATGCACTGTTAAAAGAACTTATTTCAACTGGTTCTAAACACAGATCTCTTTTTATTAATGAACTGTGCTTCAGAAGGGTATTTAAGGGTAGTGATGCTATGGTTGGTAAGGAAAAACTGGAGGAGTACGAAATTGTACTCTTAGACTCTCTGTTCGTCTCTTATAAGAGATTGCCTAGGTACATATTTTCATACGAATCGTTATCTAAGTTCATTAGAAAAAACAAATTCATGATAAATGAGCTAAAGGAGTTTCTTTTTAGGATCAGTAATTACTTACCGGATGGTTTGACTAACTTTTTTTACGAGGAGGATGTTGAGTACAAAAAGTTCGATTATAGATTTATTAAGAAAGTGAATTTTGAGGTGGTTGTGAGTGAAAGGGATCGATTTGATTTTTTCATGGGGGTACCGGTTTTTAGGAAGTTTGATTACCGACACGATTTTAAGGATTTGATGTCATTGATTTATTTTTCAATGAGGTTTGGAAACAGGCCAGACTACGAATTTTTTATTGAAAAATTGAAAACCGGTTGGATAGGGATTGACTATGTAGTTCTCGGTTTTCAGATAGTGAAGTCTGACGGAATAGGTTTCTTGTCGTTTTATGATGAGCCACTTAAATATGAAATAAGAAACGGGTATATAAGAATTAAGAACCTGCCTGATGTAGCCAAAATAGAAGAAAAAATGAGCAGTTTTCTGGTCTATAGATTCCCCTTTAATCCAAAACGCATTGAGAAATCAATTGACTTTTTGCTGAAAACAACCATTGGTAGAATGTTTCTGGAGGACGTGTTGGTATCGTTAAGTGATGATGCCTTGATCAGAATACTGAAGTGTAATTCTTAATTTAAGAAAAGGATTTGGGATCTAGCAGTAAAAGAAAGGGAAAGATTTTTAGTTCTGTTTCCACATCTAGGATCTGAGGATGAGATTCTATCAGGTGTAATTAAATGTGATAGGAACATAGGAATGGATGATCTTTTTCATCTGTCTGACAGTGAATATAGGTTGGAGGTCATTAATTATATGGTTAGGATGTGTGATATAGATAGGATTAACGAGACGATAGCACATTTCAGTTCTTTCGATGTGCCTAGGAGGAGAGGAGGATCAATGGCTCTTTGTTAACGGAACAAAATACTCTAAAACTATTACCACACGTTTTCAAACTTTTAGATAGTCCCAATCACTTGATTTACTCTAAGAGTAAGGATATACTTAAACAGGCTTTGGAAAGCAGTTCCAACATTCCTGTTGGAAAAGGAACATAATCGCTTCAAAACGGTCACATGTTTGTCTGAGGATTGGTGGAAGCATTTGGAAGCACTTTGAAGCTCAAAGATTTTTGAAGCAAGCTTAAAGAAACAGTTTTCTACTTTCATCTCAATAGAACAACGTTGCGAGCTTTAGTGTTGTTGATTTGCAATTTTATAACTGAAAAGGAGTCGATGGAGATTTTGAGGTGTTTAGATTGCGTGTCAATTGGAAGTGACGAAGTTGTTCCTGTTGAGGGTAATTCAGTGTTACAATAAGAGTGTATCCAATGAGTTTATGACATTATGGAGGAGTTGATTGTTTTTACAGGGATGTTTAGCGGGATACTAGAGAGGTATATCAGGAAGCTGAGATAGAGGGAGCAGTTTGGTACTGGTACTACCGCACAAAAATACAAGGATATGCAATAGCTTGATGCCATTACAATGTATCAAATTATCGAGCTGATTGATGAAATGTAAGCGAAAATGAATAATAGATCTGCCAGAATGCTGTACGTAATACTAAAGTGAACTCATACATTAAATACGGTTGACACCTTCATACAGTTTTGGATCTGGTAACAAACAATTTAGAAGGTAAAGAATCGTTTATTCCATTTGCACCAGATCTACCCCTATTCGATCTAGAGCTTTATTTTCCTAAACTGAAATCCATGTTCATTTCCGGCGACTCAAGAGCCCTAGAGGCTTTTCACAAGATAAATGACCCTAGATCTATTTATTTTATAGTTTCCAGTTTCATTACTGGCTCCACTCAGGTTAAACTAAATTCGCTGGGTATTATAAGTAAAAGAGAGGTGTTGAGTGATGTAGAAGTAGCTTTGGTGTTTATGTATACACTGTCTATTTATACATTGAACACTGATCTGCAATGTCTGGATACTTATTCTAGGATACCCCATAATGCAATTAAAAGGATATATAGATTTGTGTTTATGATGCATTGCTTTGAATTGGATACGGATATTCTAGGGGAGATGGTTGAAAGGGGAATGAAGATTTGACCTTTGCGTTTTTAGATGATTTAGGTTCCCATACTCCAGAACACAGCAGTATCGACAATGGATGTGCAACTGGCCAGGGGCCAGTAGAGCTAATTCTAAAACATTTAAAAGAGCATAAAATGGATTTAGCCATGAAGTACTTTAATCTAAAAGTCTTAGAAACAAAAGTAATGTGGCAATGCATACAAATGAATAAAAAAAACAGAACAGGTCTTTGAGGGATCGTTCAGAGAAAGAAACGTGGAAATACTAAGGGGTTTTATTGAAAAGGAGAGGTTTAAGAGCTTGTTTATAGAAAGAGTGACTAACGTCAACCTAGATGATTTTAGCGAGCTTCATGACGATGTGAGTGTGTTAGTGAGGGTGATGAAGAAATGTTGTTACAAAAGTGTTCTGAAGCGTGTTAGGAAGGATGTGCAGATGGAATTGCTGAGGGCGGAGTGGTTTAGCGATGTTGATTTGAGTGAGTTTAAGAATTTCATGCATGTGGGTAGTAACACTGTAGATGTCAACATGGATAGTCATAGTGTAAACAACAGTAGATACCATTGTCAATGCAGCGAGGCAGTAAAAAAAATAGAAATTTGGGAATAATAGTTGAAATAATAAAAAATCAGGAAAACAGCAAAGAACTAAGAAAATCGATACTCGATTTAAATCCGCTAGCTTCTTTTGTCTATCTAAATACAAAATACGTAACTCCTGGCTGCAGTTTAACTTCAGAGATATTTGTTAAGGCTTTTAGCCACTTCGCAGATTTAGACTTTCTAATTACTAAAAGTAATCTGGAATATCTAATTGAGGTTCCTTTCAGCAATATTAAAAGTAAAGATGGGCTAATAAACGTACTTAGAGCAACTCACTCTAAAGATGTTTTATCTCCAAGGATAGTAGAGCAGTAGCAGAATAGGGATTAAGGCTGATATTCCTGAAGCATGAGAATGAGCTGGGATTGTTCAAAGAAATCTACGATTGCCTGAGCATATAAAATGGTTTGGAACACTTTTTCCGATGAACTAACAAGTTAAAAGAAATTTATTATCGCAGAGTTTTGACCGGCAAAAGGCTAGTTATCCGGAGATACAGCACGATTTAAAAGGTTTAACTAAAAGTCTGCAAAGACATCAAAATCCTCCTCGTCCTCTTAATCCTTTGGAACCTCCTTAGTCTCCTCCCTATTCTCTGCCGGCGTTTCCACCTGCGCAGGAGGCACAGCCGCACATGACATCTTCTTGCTACCCTCAGCCACCAGATCGTCCAAAGGCCTACCCCCAATATTCACAATGAGCCTATCGATCTCCTCTACTACGTATGTCGCCCCAATAGAATTGTATAGCGAGACGATGGTTTCTTTATTGATTTTCTTATTGGCGATGCTCAAGAGAATGCGAGAATACAATCCATGGGCTAAAATTTTTTGTGATCTTTTAGTTTTCTGCATATTAATAGTTCATAAAGGATGAAATTGTGTTAGGACGATCTGCACATTCGGCGTTCTGGTCGCGGATATTCCCATAAGTGGGGCACAGAAATCTGAAGGCCTTAGTCAAAGCTTGTAGCTGTAAATAAACCTTTTTATTGGCAGAAACCTGGACCATATCAACCAAATCAAACTAAAACATGGCTTATAAACCTTTTTACACTTGAAATACACCTTTCCTTTATTTGTTTCTCTGTGTGCAGTCCCTGCTTTAGTCTCGTATCCGCAGTGGCACTTCACGCCAGTAGGCTCTTCTCTAAACGGTTCATCTGAGTAGGTGTCCACATCCTTTTCCCATACGAACAAGTCACACTTCCTCGGGAAAATTCCACATGCATAGCATATCCTTCCCTCATTTTTATTCTTTTTAGTGACTTTACAGCCACCCGACGAAACTTACATTTCAGGGTTTTTGAGCTGCTATTTTATACTTCTGTGGCTTCTTTGGCTTTACTTTTGACCTCATTTTCCATCTTTTTGGATCTTCTCTTTTGATCTGCTGCTTTACTTTTGGACTGTCGTTACTTGTTACTTTCCTCCTTGAACTAACTTCTGGCGATTTATTCTGTTCCCTTTTAATTGTACCGGGTTGTATGTCAACATCAATGTCGTTGGAACCTGTCCTCCTTTTACCTCTATCGGGTCGCGCGTCACTGCCAAGGTCCCTGAAAATATCTGTAAAGTCTTTGATTCTGCCCTTCATAACCCTAAAAATATCCCTATACACCTCTACCTGTTGTTCAACAACCTCCTCCTTCCTAACCTCCTCCTTCTCTATTTTCTTCAGACTCATTTCCAGTTCTGATCTGAGCCTTGGTTTGCTAAACTCCAAACCATACACTTCATAGCCCTTGATCAGAGCCCTGCCAAGTGGCAATGGGACAATCTTGGAGTTGTATTTATTTACATAGTTCCTATCCTGTATCTTCTGAATATGCTCGTGTAACGTTGCATCAGTGCCTATCCCATTTTTGTCCATCAGAGCGATCAACTCTGCTTCTGTCAAATAATCAGGCGGCGTCGTGGTCCCATCAACGATTTTTAACTCGTAGGTTTTGAATGTCTCGTTCAGCTGGAAGTCGCTGACAGCCTTGTTCTCCCATTTGTCGTAGAAATAAACCTCTAAGTAGTTTTTATCGATTTTTCTCAACCCAGTTAGGATAAATGACTCTGCTCTAATTTTCAGGACAACCTTCGTTTCAATTCCCCTGGCATTGTCACTTATACAGGCCAAATATATTCTGGAGACGAACTCAAATAATTTTCTGTTATCTCCCGACAGGCTGTTGCCGTTTTTCAAAAGATATATCGGTAGATGAGCCATATCGTTGTTTTTACCACTTCTTGGATACTTAAAGCTGTTCGTTAGGGCTGAAGCATATTCGCCAACCTTTTCATCTTTTTCTAGTTCGTTCAGAATCGACTTGAACTTGAAAGTCTTAGAAAAGCTGTCCGTCTCCTTCCTTGGGTAGCTGATAGTACTACTGTACTACTACTGTACAAAGGCTCAGCTATCTCCATCAATCTATGTGCGCTCATCTTAAAATACGAGGCATAGGTCTTCTGAAGCTCATCTGTCCAGAGAGGAAGAGGTCGGAACTTCTCAACAGGCCTGTCCTCTCTGCAGACGACCACTGCAGGGTACTTCTCAATAAAGTTGTGGAAAAGTATTATACACAGTTCATATCAAATAAGCGTTTTCTCTCCTACAGAAAAACATTTTTCAAGTTGTTTTTCTCAATTGCTGTTTCTAGGGACCAAAAAGTTTCCTCTACAAAATTTTCTATTCAAACAGACCTATCGACAACAAAACCCAAAGTTGGAGTTTGACACGATCCGTAGCTTACAACTTTAACTGGCAGGGAAACCTCTCTCTTCAGGCTGAGTGTTTGCAACCTAGTAAAGGTAGATCCAATTTTCAAGTCCAGCTCCATCTTCACATCCACTGCATCTGCCTCTAACTCGTTCATGTCCACCAAGCTGGACAAAGCTTCATCTATTTCCCTTTTATTTATACCGAACAATCTCGCTCTTTTAATTTCAATATTTTTGACAGAAAGTGCTACCTTGGCAATCTGCTTCGCTATGTTTTCCCCTTCCCTATCACAAGCAGTCCAGATTATAAGTAGCCCGGCCAGTGAAACGTTTCTTTCAGTATTTTCTTTCAGTTTTAAAAAATCCTCCTTGACAAACTTAACTATTTTCTCCTCAAATAACAGCTCCGGGTCTACTTCTTCCCACCGTTGCTTGCTCAGGAAATCTGTTGTATACAGGTGACCAAGTACGCTTGTGAAAACGAAGTCTGCTTCTCTGTATTGGAAGAACGATTTGAAGTGGATGTTCGGTCAGTACTTGTAGTTGCTGCGAACCAGTTGGTAGTTGGCGTTTAGAATGTAGCTTATTGATTTTGCAACAGATGGTTTTTCAGCAACGTTGAGGATTTTCATTTTATGCAACTGTGGGGCCCTTCGATTTTTTTGTTCCCTTCGGAACGATTTGAGAAAGGATATGCTCCTTGTTGGACAACCATGTTCAGTGCACTTATTGTGTTCAAATGCCATATGGACATCCTTATATCGCACAGAATCTCAATGCAAACGAAGAATACAGTAGAGCACACTTGGTAAAAGTGATCTACACTACTTTTAACTCACTGTAATAAAAAGCAGGGATATAAACGAATTTTCAGACTTTATTTATAATTAAAATGGATCGGGACATAAAAGCAGTGTCCCACAGACATACCTCTTCTCAATCAACCATGTCCAACTTTACTTACTCCTTGTAGAATTGTTCAACGCTTCCCGTTCCCATAGAAATAGGAGCACCTATTATGATAGACTCGCTCACTCCCTTAATAGCGTCTTTCCGATTTCTTATGGCTGCTTCAAATAGATGATCTCCTGTTTGCTCAAAGGATGCAAGTATCAATGTACTGAACTTCATTTTACTGATTCCAAACCTCGTTATTCCAAGCACCTCCCCCTTGCAAACCATTGCATCAGCAAGTAGCATCAGATGTCTTGGATCAATTTTTATTTCATGGCTAGAGATTGTGTACTGCATCTCTCTGATTATCGCTTCTCTTGCAGCTTCTATTCCGAGGAGTCTTTCCATTTCCATTATGTTGTTCGTAACTGTTCTTCTGTAGTCGACACCCTCAACTCCAAATATTTGTTTTAGACCCGTTCCCTCTACAAATAATTTGTAGTCCTTTTCCTTGACTAAAATGACCCTTTCAACACTCTTTATTTTACTGACCACAATGTTTCTGAGATTCCTTTTAAAATCCTTTACCGCAAAATACTAATACTTTCCTTCCTCCTTCTTTAAATAAAAGGTAATTTTGTTGTTGTCTATGAATGACTCACAGTTTATTTTTCGTTTTATTTGTTCCAAATTTATCTCCAGCTTTAGACTGGAAATTGTTTCTGAGCAAATCTCTACCTCTAAAAACAATTCCTTCTGTGTATAAATCTCTGTCATCGAAGACACAATGTCTTTCAAATAAATCTTGTCTATTCTACCTTTGACCCTTTTGGCTTCCTGCAAGCACCAATTCTTAACAAAATTTGTCTTAATTATGGGTGTATTTATGTTCTTAACCGCATTTATAATTTCCTTTCGTCTTGGCACTCCAAGGGTAATGTTCATACTGGCAACACCAGCAAAGTGAAACGTCTTCAAGGTCATCTGAGTTCCAGGCTCCCCGATGCTTTGACCAGCCAAAGCTCCGACCGCTGAACCAGGCTCAATTTTCAATGTATTTAATTTCGACTTGTAAGTAGACATTAAGGCAGACTTGATCTTTTCTTTGTGAGTGCTGAAAATGTCTCTTAGAGCTAGCTAATCACAGCTTTCCATTCTCCCTTCCAAAAATTAATCGACCTTCTGATAATTCGTAGTGTCTTCTCTCGCATTTATGCAACTCGAATCGTTTTTAGGCTCTTATCTATGCGTACAAAACAGAATGCCATTGACCACCTGCCTGTGCAATATCTTCAACTCACTTACCAGTTCCTCACAAACAACGTCCCTTCTAATATTATCTTCCCACTCAACTAAGCAAAGATCAACACACTTCTCTCCGTAAACATACTGTACTATGCTCTTATCAGACCCTCTCACAGTATAAACATACATTACACTCAAATCTTCTAGAGCCTTCATGAGTCTCCTTTGCATATATCCTGTCTCCGCAGTCTTAACTGCTGTATCGAATAAACCCTCTCTTCCACTTATGGCATGAAAAAAAAACTCAGTAGATGACAGTTCACATTTAAAAGACGACGCAACAAAACCCTTATCCCTAGGAAACTTAGAATCGACAGCGAAATGAGGCAGAGTTCTTCTACAAAATCCATTTGGAACTCGTTTTCCAGAAATGATTTGCTGCCCTACGCAGGCAACCATTTGTGAAACATTGATTTTGGACCCTTTGGACCCACAGCTCTGCATTATAATTGGACTGTTATTGATGCTCAGTTCATTTAAACACAGATTTCCACAGCTTTCTCTTATTTTATGTAATGTTGAGCTTATGTTGCTTTCATGCATTTCTTCCAATTTGCAGCCTGACTCCAATTCCAGTTTTTTCGACTTGTAATCCTCTTTCTTCATGTTTACCTTCAGATTTCCTTCTTCAAAGATTTTATTTTTTTCCATTTACAGTTCTAGATTCGAAGTAACATCCCCCAGCCCAATTGAAAATCCCGAATCACATAAGTATCTTGAACTGAGCCTTGATAATTTATTAAGGAAATTAAGTGCACTGGTCATGTTTTTCTTTATAAGTCGATACAATAGACTCGTTTCCTTGTTTTCCGTGCCGATTACTGACTTATCTAACCTCCCAATGAAGTATTTGTTCTGTATTACAACTACATATCCATGGTTTATGTTCCAGTCTTGTTTATAGGATCGATTCTTGCTAATCAGTGTCACCGCTTCTGTATTAGCACTGTTTATGCATGCACCAGATCCTACTCCACTTTCATATCCCACCTCAACTACCTCTTTTAGCAAAGCTTCTATTAACTACTTCCCGGTAAACAGTTTGGAGGGTCTGAGTATCACAGGCTTTGCCTCAATTTTTATTTCCAGATCGGACGCGTATTGACTAAAAGTTTCGTAACTAAAGAAAGTGTTTCTGGATGTTAATAAATAAGAGGCTGTTACAAAATCCTGGATGGCTGCAATGAGCGGCTCTCCGTTTTTTGGATTGACTAAATTAGATTTGACACACATCAACTCTATGGCTTCAGCTCTAGATTCGTACGTTTGCAGCACGTGGACATTCATTTCGTCCCCGTCAAAGTCTGCATTGTTGGGCGTACAGCAACACTCGTTGAACTTAAAAGTTTTTTTTTCTGAATAGACCTTTGCTCTGTGTGCCATGATGCTCATTCGATGGATACTTGGTTGACGATTGAAAAGGACAATGTCACCGTCTTGTAGGTGTCGTTCAACTATGTCTCCAATTCTTAAGTATTTTGACGTTTGTGTTCTGTTACAGTATTTTAAGAACATTTTTATTTCCTGTCCCCTTTTTCGTTCTTTCCTTCTGACGTGTTTTTCTTGTTTCCTATTCGCTAATTGCCCCTCTTCTAATTTGCCGTCTGCCAATTGACCTGCTGTTAGGTTATTATTCGTTGCTTCTTTTAAGGCGCTGCTTGCTACTTCTTTTAGTACATCATTAGCCAGCCCTTGTAAGCTCTCATTTGCCGTTGACTGTTCCACTGTCAATTCTCCCAAGCTGTCATCGACTGTTAGCTGATCTGCAGTGCTATAACAAGGCTTTATAACATAATTTGCTCCGGGATAATTTACTCCATTTCTGATCAGCTTTCTAAGCCTTTCAATATTGAAGCCAGCTACCCTCTCGGGAATAGTCAGGATCTTAGCTATGTGTCTGGATACTCCAACTTCATCTACCCCTAAATTGGGATCTGGGGAAATCCCAGTCCTAGAACTAAAATCCACCCTCTTGCCATTTAAATTGCCCCTGAACCTACCATGTTTGCCTTTCAGTCTCTGCAAAAGCCCCTTGAGTTGTTTTCCCGTGCCATAGGGGGATATCAGCTGTGCATACTGGTTCTGTATAAAATCCCAATCCTCCAGGATCACTGAGTATGGATTGCCTCTCTGGATAGAGTTGACTAGGATTTGGTTGCAATGAATTATCTCTCTGATTTTAATAGTTAAGTCATCCTCATTTGACCCTCCCTCTTGTTCCATAGCCACACTCGGCCGAATTGGTGCGGGGGGAATCACTAATTTCTGACTTATTATATCCGCTGGTGATTGATAGATCCCCAGGAGAACATACTCATCCTTAGGAATACATCTAAAAAAGTTCAAACTCTTTAACGGATTCAAGTCCTCTTTCATGTCAGACGCTTCTAGAAATATTTTCAGACCAGGGGCCTTTCTGACCTTCCCATTGTGTTTCCTACAGTAGAAACAGGTGGAGATCTTCTTGCATTCTTTTGTGAATTTTGTAAACAGGCGCTTCTGTCCCAAATCGGAGACTGTTTTTATGGTTTGGAGATATTTTAGTTTTTTCAAGGGATCAATTAGGACACGTGAGCAGTGTTTGCAGATTGATTGGCAGATGGTGTATGTCTGCCTGAAGAACCCCAAGTGGAACACTGGCAGTGCGAGCTTGTACTGGCCAAAGTGTCCGCAGCAGTTGGAAAGTGTTTCACTACATGTTAGTGTAGTTAGTTTCACTACGACAATGTATAGCTACAATGGCATATCGCATGCCGAAAATCCGGAAACATAGTGTGTCAGTGGGTAATCTGTGTGATCGCATGTAAAAGACAAGCACTACATTTGGCAACTATCTCTAATCTACCTATGAATTGATGACCTCAGGTAAATTTTAAATATAAATAGTATTTTTTTATAGGATGAGCGCTTAAGACCTCACGATAGACTTCTACCCGGATGCACGTCTTCGAAAGACCTGTAGTTGTCATTTTTCATATGATTTCCATAAATATAGATGTTAAGAGCCGGAATGGCCTCATCCTTTTTAGCCATGGGAGCTCCTTTTATGTCAAACAGCTGGTTCGGTGTGTCCGAACACGGTTGACCATTTATATATGATCCCTCAGCGGGACTTATCTGTTCCCTTATTTCAAGACATTGGCCTCTCGACTTGAACTTGTATCCCTTCTCAGTTTTGGTGACCTCAAATAAAGACCCATCATCTTTTGGATTAAAAGAACTGCCAATGACACCACAATCTTTGTCTTTTTGGTGTAAAGACGCGTCACGAAACTTAATTTGATAAGCCGATCCAGAGATAGGAATTATTCTAGCCACAGTCGGATCACTTTCTTTAAATAATTCTGCGCTTATTTTCTTCAGTCTAAACGTGCCGTTTTCCAGATTAAACATCGACTTGGGGTCATCGATCTACGTTATGATCACGAACTCATCAAGCGGGAAGTTCGCCCCAGCTCCAATGAGCATTACACACATCATGGCACTTATCATAAATACCTGTACTGTACATGCCTCTATATATATTTGCATTGATATTTGTAACCTATAAATTGGGTTATTGTGTTTTAGCTTCCTGATTATATTTTCTGAAACCCCCTGTTTAGGGTTTTTTCTACTAATTATATTCCAGAACGAGCATTGATCAGCAAAAATACTGAATGAATGGGCTGCTGGGTGTATAACAGAGTAAAATCACCAACTGAATATCATTGTGCCGACATACTAATAGACTCTTGGGGATCTTATAAGTGGGTATTTTGAGCTGGAATTTAGTCGGATGCATTACTCAAACAATTTTGCAGGATGCTGGGTTAAAAGAATAAATCTGCACTCCGTGTTGACTCAGGTATGTAGATACATGCTACGCGATAATACATTTAGATATACAGGGAAGGTGCCCGTGTAAGAAAATCACTGCCATCTTGGTGCGGTCCCATGCCAACCACCCAAATTTTAAGCAAATCATTGCATTCCTCAGGGACCAAAAGACAAAAGACAAAAGACAATTTTTAGGTTTCCGGATGTACTCCTGATTCTGATCATCGTTTTTATGGCTTATGGGTGAATTCGGTGTTTCTTACGCTAACATTTCTGGATAAATCCTTATCAGCAAAGAAATAACAAAATTAGGGGTTGTGGAATTAAAAAATTTTAGGCCAAAGTTATTCATTGCACCAGATAAAATCTATCCCTTCGCTATGAGTACAAAACCGACGGAAGATGAGTACAGGTACGTTAGCCTAAAGGTAATTGGCGATGAATTGCCCGGGACAGCACTGGTCCAGAAAATTGGACCGATGGGAATGCCACCTATGGTTGTTGGAGAAGATATCCATAAGGCTACGTCCGATTACAAAAGCTTGAAGGTCCACGTTCGTTTGGCTATAAAGGATCGTAAGGCAACGGTTGAGGTGGTTCCAAGCACCTCCACTCTGATTCTGAAGGCGCTTAGAGAGTCACCAAGGGACAGAAAGAAGGTCAAGAATGCGGTTCACCACGGCAGCATAACCATGACTGATGTGGTTGATATTGCTAGAAAGAAGGTCAATCTTTCTGGCGCTGCCAAGGTTGAAGGTGTCGTTAAGGAGGTTCAGGGAACTTGTGTTTCTAAATGATGTAGTATTGATGGGAAATCTCCAAAGGATGTTGTTAGAGAGATTAACGACGGTTTAAAATGAGACTTCCATCCCAATAAATTTTTATTTCTTTTTCTTATTCCTTTGCGGATGGCCATACTCGTGTTGTGTAGCATTTTTTGAGCTGAAATGCGGAGATACTAGGTTTGTTTCCAATTATTGTTCTAAGGCACTTGGGTTATTAATGAATATGATGTCTCCTCTTTTGAGCTTTATACATTTTAAGCATGCGCTACTCAACCGAAAGCTATACAATAATGCAATGAAGGCATGCATGAACAAGAATGGCCGATTCTAGCTTGGCTGGAGATTTTATGGTGCTTCTTGCCGAGATTATTATACGATGACTAGTTTCTTGCACATTTGATAAATGCGTTATCAATAGCCCATAACAAATGTCCTGGTTTATACTAGACTCACACGAGACAATCAATTTGGAGAAGACGCTTTTTAGCGGCCAGATCTTTTCATTTAATAAGACAGGACTAAGCGAATACAGCGGTGTCATTGACGGCTCCATATTCGTTTTTAAACAAGATGGTGGCATGGTTTCCTGCGACTTTCATAAAAACATACAGGACCGTCTTTCAAGCTTCTTCAGTCTAGATATCAACTACCAGTCTTTGATAAATGAGTGGAACAAATCCCAAGATTATATGAAATTCGAATGTAACGGATTATTAAGATGTGAAGTAATAGAGACCATGTTGTCTTTTATCGGTTCAAGCAACAACAATATCAAAAGGATAACAGGAATGGTTGACTACTTGTTCACAAGAGGCGATTTCATAGGCTGCGTTGGCGGTTTCAGTTTTTATAAGTTTCCCAAGCTTCAAAACCTGACTAATATCGAAGACGAGTTGAGAGAGATGAAGTTCGGATACAGGGGAAAGTACATCTGCTCGGCAGTAACTAAGTTACTGGAGTCTAGCTTAGACACGAAGATCTCGATACTACTTCGGTCAACGGAAAACGATAGGGACCTGCCACACCCGGTCTTCCATCGACTAACACATTGTTTAATGTCTCTGAATCACTTAGAAGTTGTACCTGTAGACACACATGTGTTCAAATCGTCAAAAGGGATGTTTGGTATATCTGGCAAGCTGGATAAGAAGACCTACTCTTACGTCAGAAAGAAGTATTTGGAGATTTTTGGTAAATGTGCTGGAATAGCGCAACGATATATTTTTAAAGAATCTCTCGACAAACAGCCAAATAAGAAGGAAGCAGCAAATATCATACCAGAATAGCTCAAATTGTTTATTGCATTGATATCCTACAAAATAATCCTCTGTCTCTTGATTTTTCTGCAAAGATCTCTGTACCGGCTGTTTTCTTGGCAGCTGCCAACTGTCGCATCGAAACGGTACGTAAAAGTTGTTTTGGGAAATTAAATAGAATTACAGACCTCGACATCTTTTACATGGTCGAGCGTATCGTGTTGATTCTTCCGAATGAATGTTAGTAGGAGGGAGTACTATTTCTGAAATTTCCCAATTTTCTCAATGAACAGTTTCAAAACAGGATCTTCGCCTACATCGACAATTTCAACCAAGCTTTCAAGAATCGAGTCGTCAAACTGTCTTCAGTCAAGCAGTCTTCTGCTTGACACGAAAAGTTATTTTAGAGACATCTACGACAAAACAAACGGCTCAGACAGTCGGAGTGTGACGTCGTCTACGCGTGAAAATCTAAATCTCGATGGGTTTACGAAAAATTAAAGTAAAAGAAAGAAAAATAACCTACTTTTCATACTCTTTTCAGCTTTTAGGTTATTTTTCTTCAAGATGGCCACTTCTTCCTGCTTTTTTCTCAAGTTCTCGCAAAGTTCTTCTACTTCTTCTGACTTGGAATCTATTTCTATCTGCTGGTCGAATGATCTTCGAATGAGCGATTTGTGTTTGTCTTCCAGTGCTTTGTATTTTTCGTTGAGCAAACGTATTTCAAGAATAAGAGTGTTTATTCTGACCATGTCATCTTCCATTTTAGGATTAGCAGATGATCTACGGGTAAGTATCTCTTTTTAATGACTATATTTAGCTGGTGACAATCCGAGAGATGGTGTACCATTTAGGATTTGTACAGTAATGAACACCTTGCAATAATTGAAAATTTCAGTTTTTGCTTAAAATAGAACTGCGGCATGGCTTTACTTTCGAGGATTGAATAGATCAAAACAGAACAGTGTGTTCAACAAGCTCACAATGGCCTTACTTTATTATTTGATGTCAAGTTCTTTACACTGAACGCATCCTCGCTGTTAATGTTACTAAATAAGATGCTATTTGTACCCACCAAAAAAACATCCCTAACGATGGATCTTCTTAAAAAGAAAATGTGAAAGGTTTTCAGCCTCACTTTGGACCTGGACATTGATGACATTAAAAACGAGGAGGACAAATCATTTATACATGACTGCTTAACGAAATTAAGTATTTTTAAAATCTTAACACCTCATGAGCCAATATATTCTTTCAGCTCAATTGAAGCGTTTGTCAAGGAGTCTTTCGATTTTTTTATTTTCTAATTAAACTGAAATTACAGTTAAAAGGAATATACACACACAATGATCTAGAAGCAAACAACGGATACGTATTGAGCATCCCATCAGTAGACAATAAAACCCGGCTAAAAAAACTTCTTGTTGATAGAGCAAGCAAAATCTACAAATTAGAACTAGAAGAAATAAGAAAAAACAGAGTTGGTTTTATAAAAGCAAAACTCTTTTTTAGGATGAATAAACTCATAAACAGGTTGAAGTGTCAGGACTATGTAGCAGAGAAGGAGAAGGGGTATGCATAATTCATCTTAAAGGATTTTATCAACGCCAAAGACTTCTATAAGAACTGCAAGGATGAGCGGCTTTCGATTTATTTTAGTAAAATGAGCTTGTATCGTTCAATACTTATGGACGAAGAGCTCCAGCTGGAGTGGCTAATGCAGTCAAAAATTGTTAACGCAAAAGAGCAAATGCGCGTTCTGTATTTTTTAATTGAATATTGTAAAGTTAAGAATGAGATGGTTTCTGGATGCTTGATTCAATCGCATTTGCAGATAAACAGTGAGTAATTTACGCTGTTCAAGTCTTTTTTTACCATTGAGCTAGTAAAGATTTATAAAAACAAGAAGAGAATATTTTCGCTTAGTTTGGTTGAGGCGATAGAATGCTTCAATCGCAAGAAACTGAGAAACTACAGCAAAGAGTGCTTTTCTATTCTAACGAGAGAGTTTTCGGAAAACAAGGAGCTCAGAAAATTTCTGGATCAGAACAGTGGTGAACTTACTGAGAAAAATGGTGAAAACACAAGTCAGGTTGTCTACCAGCACACAGAGAAACGTCCACCAGGTGAACAAAAGAATTGTAAGTTCCTGAATGATAGGGTTCTTGAACATATCGACAGACTAAAGTTTGAAATATTTGATAAAAAATGAATTAGTCAAAAAGAATTTGTAAGAAGACAGTATTCTCATTCAGGTAAAACATTTTACTTAAGACACAAGCTGCTTAGTATCAACCACAATGAACCTACTTTATTCGTCATTCTTGTAGACACCTAAAAGCGTACTGCCTAACTCAAACATGTCGTTTCAAAGACTAATGACAATAAACTGTGCATATCTGGTCCTCTCCCTAAGAAAATTCGATATGACACTGACATTCCTAAAATCCAAAGCTGCATCAATCTCGTCCATAACATGGAATGGAGATGATTATAAACACGCGCAGCGCTAAAACCAGCGCCAATGATGCTAATGTCTTTTCTCCGCCACTCAAATTGCCTACAGTATGTTCTTCCGACTCTTAGGCGGCATGACACTTAGAATTATTCCCTCATCAAATGGATCGAGACAGTCGACAAACTCCAGCTCAGCATTGCCGCCAAAAGTGATTCTCTGATGAATTTCTTTTAAATTTTTGGAGATTGTGATGAATCCATCCATATTCTCTTTCTTCTTTTTGTATTCATTAATAAATTCAATACCAAAGGATTTGTTCCTGGCATCTTTTATTATTTTCTCTTCCTTTTTAATCAAGATTTCTATTTCCTCATTAGAAATCTCATTATAAAACTCCTCGTTTTCCAAGATGTTTAGATACCCTTTTATCGATTTTGCATCAGAGTCTAGAAGTCTCAACTCGCTTTCATAATTTCGTTTTTTTTTTCTTATAAGCGTCGTTGCTGTCTACTATCTCATCAACCGTATTCTTCAAATCAATTTCCAGATAGTAGTCCTCGCCCATCTGAGCTTTAGTTTTGCTAAATTCTTCATTTAGTGCTTTCAGGTCGTTAAATTTTTCTTTATAAACAGAGACCATCCCATCAACCTCTTTCTTGCTCTCCACATGATTTTCAATTTTGTTTAGCTTACTTAACTGCAATTTTAAATCGTTCGTCTCCCTAGCTTTTTCCTCAACATCCTGAATTACCACATCATTTAATTTAATTTTCAAGTCTTGGTTTCTTTTTTCTAAAATGTCCAATTTCTCCTCAAAAATTTCTTTTTCAGATCTCAATCTTTAATATTTGACCCCATAAACGTCTAAAATCATGGCGCTTGGCTTCAAAATGTCATTTTTGTAATTCTGAATTTCCTCATCGGTTATTCGTTTTTTTCTAATTTTAACTCAGTTGCTTTTAATCTAGCATTTATTTCGTTGACCCTCTCTTTGTTTGCTTAAAACTAGTTTTAGTTTGTGTTCCACTTCCTCTTTCTTACTTTTTACTTCACTCCTTTGACTGTCTATTTCCTCTAAAGCCTTTTCTAGTTGAGCAATTTCATTTTCATATTTTACCACCCTGTTTAATCCTATGCTGCTTTTGTTTGAGCTGCTCATCAATCCACTTTCCTCAATCAGCTTTCTGTCAAGAGTAATAACTCTTTTCATGATCCTAACAAACGCCATTCTGTTCCCTTCTTCAATATTCTGTGCCACCAAAGTGTCTTTTAATGCATAATAAAAGCACTTCTTGAATTTTCCATCCGTCTCTATCAAATTAAACGCATATGGGACTGGTTCCTCCCTCAGACAGGGAATTTCGGATATTCTATCGAGGATAACGAAAGTGGCCCTGATTAAATTGCGCTTCTTGATTATTTCAGCACATTTTTCTGCCGTTTCCGTCTTGTCAGCAACTGTTATTGAGAGCTCCTTTAGACGCAGCTGATATTGCATGTTCATACCTTTCGTCTACGGAACCCAAACTCCTCAATCTTCCAAACAGTCCCTTCACGTCACTAATTGCATCATCAACTGTCCTAGGTCCGTAACTCTGCTCCTCTTTCTTTTTTATTTCTCTGAGCAGAAACCTCCTTTTATTTAGCTGATTCCATGTAATGTCGATGTCTTCTTGAATGCCTTGCAGTTTCGAGCTGAGACCCGAGCTTTTACTTTCCAGATCTTCCACTCTCTCCAAATCCTTTAGATTCTCCAATTCGTACAAAAATAGCTTATTCTCTTTTTCTAAAAAGCTATTGCTATCTCCCATTTTCTCACCCAGTTCCACTTCATGAGCACAAGCTTCATCTCTATTTTTAAATATTTTATTTAGACACCCTTCTAAACCCAAAAATTTCTTTTTGGTAGCAATACATTTGGGTTTGTTTTTTTTTTCTACCTCCAGCAAGGAGCCATGAATTTCCTTAATTTATATTTCGTACGATTGTATTTCTGAAACGTTCTGATTGATCTCCCTCAAGTGGTGGTCTCCTTCACTAGACAACAAAACCTCTTGTTTTTTGCAGTTTTTATCTCCTTACTCAATGCCTTCATTCTCATTTCTAATCTGCTTTTCTTTTTCTCATAATCGTTCTGTTCCAAATAAAATTTTTAAAACTTCTTTTTTGCTTCCAATAAATATACTTTCATTTATTTAGTTCTCTTTTACACTTTGAAAGGTTCATCTCCAAATTGTCTAGAAGAGCTTCATTTGAAATGTTTTTCTTGTCAATTTCCTTCATCCTATTCTCAAATTCACTTTTTTTTAGGCAAACCGTTTTCTTTTAGCCTTTTGATTTTTTCAATATCCAGCTCGTTTACTTTCTTTCTAGACTCAAAGAGCCTTAGAGACTCTTTCATCGCCTCATCATTCTCTTTCTTTCTGTTTTCAACATATCTGAACTCGTTCTCATAGAATTTAAAGTCTGTTGCCTTAGAATCGTTTTCTTCCCTCATTTTTTTCAGCTTCTGACTTTCTTTCTTCAATTTCTTTGTTGAGTGAAGATGTCCCAATTACATCCTCCAAGTATTCCAGCATCCCTACCTTTTCGTTCTGCGATTTGGGCTTCATCATTGCTATTGATTCTATTTCTCCCTGTAATATCAGGAATCTGTTGTTCTCCATGTCAACACCTTCTTTCGACATGAAACTGTGAATTTCGTTGCACTTCACCTCCTTATTGTTTATAAAAATATTTATTTTTCTTGCTTAAATACAGCTCTCTCCTGATTTTGTGGACACCAGAGCTTCTGCTGAAGATTAGCTCGTCGTATCACATCGGCCTTCCCTCCGTGGCCCTGTAAATTAGATCTGTTTGCACCGATGGTCTCTTTTTTTTTGCTCGGAACCCAAGAACAAACAAAATCGAGTCAATTATATTTGATTTTCCCGATCCATTCGGTCCAACAACACCGGTGAAGTGGTGATCCAATCCACTTATTTTATGCTCACCCTCAAAGCTCTTGAAGTCCTTCATCTTAATGCCTGTTTTTCGCAGCAAATCCATTGGGGCCCAAACATTTTTTTATACAAAACTCTTACAGGCTCCATCACCAAGGCAAATTTTGTTCTTTCATAGCTAGGCCCATGCGCTCCTGACTACGTTATAAGAATGCTATCAACCAGCGCAAACTTGATAGAACATTCTGGGCTCAGTAAAAGTATCAAGAAGGCATATTGAAGCTCCTTTTAATTATAGGTGAAATACCTGGGTGTTGCAGAGAACTTGGCATATCCTTTGACAACCTTATCAACCGCAGCTATAAAGTCATTTTCTGTCACTATCTTCCTCCTTTCTCTTATTGCAAACAACCCTGCTTCGGTGCAGACACTTCTCAGCTCTGCTCCTGTAGAAATGGGACACAGTCTCGCCATTAGATTGTACCGTATTGTACCGAGTAGAACTCCAGGATTTCATATTTACGGGATCTGTCCAGAGAGCCTTCAGAGTAGCATCAAAATAACACTTTCAGGCTCTTCATATCGCTTGAGCATGCAAAATTCCACTCTCTGGGGTCTGGAGAGATACAGACATCGATAAACCGAAAGAGCAGAGCAGTTTCTGAGATTATTGATGTGCTGGCACTGAATTTTTTTCCCGAGGATACTTGTCGTTTTTCTTAAAATGCAAAGCTTTTCTACTTCCTGGGAACTGTCCCGGCAATTATCGTGAACGTTACACTGGTGGCATACACGGCAGTAACGATTAAAATTGCAATCTGGCGCAACAAAATGAGGCTGGATCTCAACGACGCCACTGTCAAATCCGCAATTGCGTTGTACGACAGCCTATCAAACTACGACACCGTGGCTGCATTTAACAACGAAAGCCTAGAAACAGAAAGATTTGACGAGACACTAAAAGGGGTAGAAAGCCATAGCAACAGACTGTGGAGAAGCTTTTACCTCCTGAACTTTTTACAGCGGGTAACTTTCTCCATGCAGACAGCGTCGATAATATTTTTTGGAACTTACGGCATTTATATGGAAAATATGAAACCTGGCACTTTTATATTATATCTAACAATTAGCAAAATTTTAGCTTTGAACTTGGATAAGCTTGGATACATGTACTGCAGATACTGGTCTGCTATAATCAATGCAAAGATGACCTATTTTATCAGCATGAAAGTCAAGGGAAAAGAAATGCTGCCGATTGCGGAGTTTAGCGACAGAATTGAGTTTAAAGATGTTAATTTCTATCATGGAGCAAAAAAAATTATGAGCAACATGAATTTCATGATAAAGCAGTCTGAGAAAGTTGCGCTAGTTGGCAAAAACGGGTCTGGAAAATCTACATTGCTGAAAATACTTCTGAAGTACAACAACTACGTGGGTTTCGTTACAATCGATGGCGAGGACAAAAAATACCAGTTCTCAGAACAATTGAGAAGGCTTATAAGCTATGTACAACAAGATGCTCTACTATTTAATTATACTGTTCGTTACAACATAAAGTACGGGAACACGGACTGTCTTGACTATTTTATGATAAGTCTCTGCAAAAAAATGGATATCCACGATTCGATTATGAAACTTAGGGACGGAAATAACACCGTGGTATACTGTTCGTTACAACATAAAGTACGGGAACACGGACTGTCTTGACTATTTTATGATAAGTCTCTGCAAAAAAAATGGATATCCACGATTCGATTATGAAACTTAGGGACGGAAATAACACCGTGGTTGGAGAAAGGGGAAAGTTCTTGAGCGGCGGAGAAAGGCAGAAGATAGCGATTATGCGTGCTCTTCTGAAGGACACAAATATACTCCTCATGGACGAGCCCATGGCAGCTTTGGACAAGGAGGCCGAGTATAGCGTTATCAAGAAAATCCTTGAATCGTTTACTGACAAGACCATATTGATGATAGTTCATAATTTTGATTTGCTAAAGTTATTTGATAGGATCCGTTTTTATCAGATGGAACTATTAAAGAATTAAACAAGCCCGAAGAACTTTATGATGTGAAAGACATAATTCTCTGATAAGAGACGAAAAATATCGGATATCTGAATAATAATTAAAAAAATAAATTTATTAGTAACATCCTGTCCGTTTATGTACCGAATAAACTGAGAGTTTTCTCTCTTGTTTATAATAATTCTAAGTTTACATCTTGAGTCTTTCTAGCCGGAGAATATTTTTTATAACCTGAAGCTTATCTTTTCAGTGACGAGAGGCCTTCGCTATTAGTGTAACCTGGGAAGGAGCTATCGAAGGATTTTAACGGCTACATACATTTTTTTCTGGGCCTCCAAACATGCTTTACACAGCATTGTCAATGATGCAGAAGAGTTCTAAGGTTGCTGAGAATTAAGTCGATCCCATTGTTCTCCACAAAAGCAGATAGAAAACTAAAGAAGCCCACATGAAAATCGAGATTGATGTCTTTGACTCGAAAGATGTGGATGTCGATCGGCGCGAAATTAAAAAGCGGAGACATATAGACAGCTACGATTACGGCGATTCATTCATCGAGCATTTCGAAGGGGAAGATGAGGCTGTGGAGATCGAGCCGAATCTTTCAATTTTTTTATGTACGAGGGATCTCTCCTAGACAAGCCTTCAAAAATTTTGTCTGCACACAGGCGTTCTAAAGAGAAACAGAGTGATGAGGGGGAAGTTACTTCAAAGCCATTTGATGATGTGTATTGCATGCAAAATGTAGTTTACTGTTTTGTCTGATCGATTTTTAAACCGGAAAACCTTCTGCTTCTGAAATTTCCAGGAAAATACCAGACCCAGTCAGTGTTCACAGTTCCACAGATCCCGGAACAAAAATACCAAATAAAGGCGACACTTCTCGTCAAAAATTTTCTTTATTGTTAAGTCACAAGGAAAAAAAATGCTGTCACGCACTGTCTTCTTTGATTTATTAAAAATGTTAAACATGCCAAATTTATTGGAATAGTCTCACATGTAACACAACACTCGGGTTTCAAAACGTCAGCCAGTGACGTGAAAGAAAACCACGTAGTGTTTCCCATGCCTGGCAGTCCCAAACCTTTCGTTCCCATCAAAAAACAAATGACGGAAGTCTGTGAAGGTCACTGCAGACTTTTCATCATCGCCTTCTTCTCGACCGAAAATCTTCACGGATTGTTTATAAAATAGTTCGTCTTCCAACTGCTTCAACAAATCCTTATCGTCCAAATCCAGATTAGGCAACTTGCGACCTAAATCCTTTTCCATCTCGTCCCGATTGGCCAAAAAATATTCCATGTTGCACCAAATGTCGACGGTCATTAGTTTCAGTGCTTCCCGAAACGAAACTTGCTCGACGGTTGTAACTGTGGCGTCTGGATAGCACGGCTCAGCGTCCTGCCAGTCCTTGGAATACAGAGAATCTAGTTGTTCCCTGGACTCGAAATACTTTGTGTCGATCAGTCCAACGTGGAGTACGTAATCACCGCAAAACTAGATGTTTTCAGAGTCGGGATCAGAACTCTGTCTCTTCCCCAGTCCATGTCCTCAAACCATTTGATTTCATCTAGATGCAGTCCATCCGTGTGCACATAGACACCAGAGCGCTGTGCGCCCTCTGCTGTGAGAACACGCGGTACTAGCAGCACTGAGTAGGTGCCCTGTTCAAAACCGGTCTTAATGAAGTTCTGGGTTGCCATCCCTCGCAGGTGATTCCTGTAAACAAAGTTGCAGACACACATAGAAGGATGGGATAACATGGCGGTGATTTGTTGACAAATCATATGGAGGCAATGAAATTTCATGGTTGCCAACTGAGACCGCATGCGGTCTTCGTTGCGTGTCATGAACTTGAAGTGGCCGTGAAAAGACCAGTGAAAAAATTGACCGGCATGGTCTTAAATTTGACCGAATCGTGACCGTAAGCCCTCAAATAGCAAAAAACACCGAAAATTCCTGAGTTTGTAGCAAGAGAAGTTAAAATTTTTCTGGCAGCTCATTCATATTTCTATAGGTGATAGGCCTCTGCGATTATCTCGCTTATCTCGCTTCCATTGGTTTCTTATTTGAGTAAACCGTCTTATTAACTCTTTTATCATCGTAAAGTTTGTTGTTCATTGGTATGCGCATCTTATGGGTTTTGATCCGCTAGCTATTTAAGCCGTTTTTTGGCGGGTAAAATTTATTGAACGACCTTCGACTTGAATTTTGAACCCCTATTTCGACTGTCGCTGTCACGACGCTAGGCGGGGTGGACGACAGTTGGTAACCTCCCAAAGTTGAATTTTCTCAGCCCATGGTACCAGCGTGCTAGAACAGATCAAAGAAGTTACATTTTCCCTGTTCCATACGGTTTTTGTGGAACTGGTCTGCCATGCTTGAAAAGTTTGTGAATAAGTTAAAACCACAGTCATGGACGACAAGCGCTGATTTTGTTCAAGTTCAGCATATTCACAGCATTAATCACATGTTAATTTGTTAACGATAAAAATTTTTTGAAAAAAAAATCAAAAGCCAGAAGCCCCTATTTCCGATGCCCGTACGTCATTCAACATAAAATGGATATAAATCCTGCAACTGACAGTTTCGAAATTCAAAGGCACCTCTTTCCATCAGAACACAAACAATCCCTTCATCGTCATCTTCCCAAAAACTCTAACTGCTCTGTTACAAAATCACCCCCCAATTTCAACTGTTTCATCATTTTCATTTTATAGAAAATCACGTTTCCCAACTTGCGATTGAAATCCTTCATCATTCCATGTCGATTGTCCAGTGAGCCCTGCACTGAAAGTTAAATTCTGCGGCAGTGGATTCGAAATTGCCTGACAGGATATAAACAAAACAAGAAATTAATCAAATAACACGTTAAAGCCTTTCTAAGGCTGCAACTGCAAGGTCAGTTCCATGCTTCTTGACTGACGAGTTAATTAATTGAATACGTTCCCCCGTTACCTGATTAGCAACGTAGTTCTCCTCTCCAGGGGGTATGGACCAGTCGACAGGTATAGTAGCTGGAAGATTTCCGAACCTGTCGATCTTCTCGGTTGATGGCGCATCGTAAAACTGATTGACAGCTGCCTGATGCTCATGTGTCTGCAGGTTCCCTATTTCCTTGTCGTGCTCAGACCCAGGATCATTGGCTCGCAATTTAGCTTCCGGACCTCTGACTAAATTATTGGGATTGTTCGAATATGCAGCGTGCAGAAAAGGACCGACGTCCGCTTGATGCTTCAGTTGACCTTTGTCATCAAGTTGACTCTCGATTATGCTTCTCATGCTTTCCTGGTTCACGAAATTTTGCAAACTTGCTCGAAGTGTTTCTCGCCTCTTTCCTACTTCGGCGGCAGTGATACCAGGCTCGCTGATGCCGTAATCCCGAACTCTGTCTTCAAGTATATTATTTGGTATTATATGATGACGGGTTGTCTCTGTTGGTGAGTTGGGGTTACAAGGAATCTTTTTCTGAAAAAGTGAAGAGTAATTAATATTCAACTCAGACATTTGAAAATCAAAAATTGAGAAATGTTTACCTTAAATATACGGGCATACTTTCCACCACGAGGATAATTTTGTTCTCTTATGGCTTTGTCAAATTCAACAGCATCATCAGGTTCTACTCTTAATATGCCTTGAGCATCTCTTTTCAATCCTGCAGTGAATAATAGTTTGTTGGCCGAATCAGGATTCGTCTTTCTAATCCAATTTTCAGCAGAAAGCACCTTCAAAAAGCTTGCCGAATTCGATTCTATAAGGTCAGCTGCTTCAACTCGGAGATCACCGACACATTTGCTGATCCCGTTACTTTCTAGAATTTTACTGAAGGCAGCAAACGCGGAGTCGTAGCCTGCTGACGGTGCTTCACTGAACTGACCGTTGCTCTCCATGTAATACGCGTGACCAACCTCGTCATTCGGACCATGTTTCACGTACATCACTTGAACCCCGTTGTCAATGTCTTCCTGNTCCCGAAACGAAACTTGCTCGACGGTTGTAACTGTGGCGTCTGGATAGCACGGCTCAGCGTCCTGCCAGTCCTTGGAATACAGAGAATCTAGTTGTTCCCTGGACTCGAAATACTTTGTGTCGATCAGTCCAACGTGGAGTACGTAATCACCGCAAAACTAGATGTTTTCAGAGTCGGGATCAGAACTCTGTCTCTTCCCCAGTCCATGTCCTCAAACCATTTGATTTCATCTAGATGCAGTCCATCCGTGTGCACATAGACACCAGAGCGCTGTGCGCCCTCTGCTGTGAGAACACGCGGTACTAGCAGCACTGAGTAGGTGCCCAGTTCAAAACCGGTCTTAATGAAGTTCTGGGTTGCCATCCCTCGCAGGTGATTCCTGTAAACAAAGTTGCAGACACACATAGAAGGATGGGATAACATGGCGGTGATTTGTTGACAAATCATATGGAGGCAATGAAATTTCATGGTTGCCAACTGAGACCGCATGCGGTCTTCGTTGCGTGCCATGAACCTGAAGTGGCCGTGAAAAGACCAGTGAAAAAATTAGATATGTATGGTCTTAAATTTGACCGAATCGTGACTGTAAGCCCTCAAATAGCAAAAAACACCGAAAATTCCTGAGTTTGTAGCAAGAAAAGTTAAAATTTTTCTGGTAGCTCATTCTTATTTCAATAGGTGATAGGCCTCTGCGATTATCTCGCTTATCTCGCTTCCATTGGTTTCTTATTTGGGTAAACCGTCTTCTTAACTCTTATATCATCGCAAAGTTTGTTGTTCATTGGTATGCCCATCTTATGGGTTTTGATCCGCTAGCTATTTAAGCCGTTTTTTGGCGGGTAAAATTTCTTGAACGACCTTCGTCTTGAATTTTGAACCCCTATTTCGACTGTCGCTGTCACGACGCTAGGCGGGGTGGGCGACAGTTGGTAACCTCGCAAAGTTGAATTTTCTCGACCCGTGGTACCAGCGGGCTAGAACAGCTCAAAGAAATTACTTTTTCCCTGTTCCATACGGTTTTTGTGGAACTGGTCTGCCATGCTTGAAAAGTTTGTGAACAAGTTAAAACCACAGTCATGGACGACAAGCGCTGATTTTGTTCAAGTTCAGCATATTCATAGCATTAATCACGTGTTAATTTGTTTACGATAAACATTTTTTGAAAAAAAATCAAAAGCCAGAAGCCCCTTTTTCCTATGCCAGTAAGTCATTCAACATAACATGGAAAACATATCCTGCAACTGGCAGTTTCAAAATTCAAAGGCACCTCTTTCCATCAGAACACAAACAATCCCTTTATCTTCATCTTCCCCAAAACTCTTAATAGCTCTGTTACAAAATCACCCCCCCCCCTTTCAACGGTTTATCATTTTCATTTTATAGAAAATCACGTTTCCTAACTTGAGATTGAAATCCTTTATCATTCCATGTCGATTGTCCAGTGAGCCCTGCACTGAAAGTTAAATTCTGCGGCGGAGGATTCGAAATTGCCTGACAGGATAAAAACATAACAAGAAATTAATCAAATAATAGGTTAAAGCCTTTCTAAGGCTGCAACTGCAAGGTCAGTTCCATGCCTCTTGACAGACGAGTTAATTAATTGAATACGTTCCCCCGTTACCTGATTAGCAACGTAGTTCTCCTCTCCAGGGGGTATGGACCAGTCGACAGGTATAGTAGCTGGAAGATTTCCGAACCTGTCGATCTTCTCGGTGACGAGTTAATTAATTGAATACGTTCCCCCGTTACCTGATTAGCAACGTAGTTCTCCTCTCCAGGGGGTATGGACCAGTCGACAGGTATAGTAGCTGGAAGATTTCCGAACCTGTCGATCTTCTCGGTTGATGGCGCATCGTAAAACTGATTGACAGCTGCCTGATGCTCATGTGTCTGCAGGTTCCCTATTTCCTCGTCGTGCTTAGACCCAGGATCATTGGCTCGCAATTCAGCTTTCGGACCTCTGACTAAATTATTGGGATTGTTCGAATATGCAGCGTGCAGAAAAGGACCGACGTCCTCTTGATGCTTCAGTTGACCATTGTCATCAAGTTCACTCTCGATTATGCTTCTCATGCTTTCCTGGTTCACGAAATTTTGCAAACTTGCTCGAAGTGTTTCTCGCCTCTTTCCTGCTTCGGCGGCAGTGATACCAGGCTCGCTGATGCCGTAATCCAGAACAGCGTCTTCAAGTATATTATTTGGTATTATATGATGACGGGTTGTCTCTGTTGGTGAGTTGGAGTTACAAGGAATCATTTTCTGAAAAAGTGAAGAGTAATTAATATTCAACTCAGACATTTGAAAATCAAAATTTGAGAAATGTTTACCTTAAATATCCAGGCATACTTTCCACCACGAGGATAATTTCGATTTCTTATGGCATCGTCAAATTCAACAGCATCACGAAGTTCTACTCTTAATACCCCAGCATCATCTCTGTACAATCCGGCAGTGAATAATAGTTTGTTTGCCGAATCAGGATTCGTCTTTCTAATCCGATTTTCAGCAGAAAGCACTTTCAAAAAGCTTGCCGAATTCGATTCTATACGGTCAGCTGCTTCAACTCGGAGATCACCGACACATTTGCTGATCCCGTAACTTTCTAGAATTTTACTGAAGGCAGCAAACGCGCAGTCGCAGCCTGCTGACGGTGCTTCACTGAACTGACCGTTGCTCTCCATGTAATACGCGTGACCAACCTCGTCATTCGGACCATGTTTGTGCATGTAGTGAACTTGGGGCAACAGTTACAGAAGGACGCAGGAGACGTAACGTTCATCGTCCACCACTTTCAAGTTGACTCCGTTTCCTTTAGCCATTACTATCAATGTGGCAAGATTGGCCGGTTCGCCGGCCCGAACACCATCCGCGATTTGTTTAACATTCGCGTCCGGCGTGCCCTGGTCATGGTGGCCGCCATCTTGGCCTGCATGGTAGGCCATTTCACACTGACTGTACGCCTCGCAATGATCCCTGCTGCTGTACTTGATCTGCTCTTCAAACGTTCTAAAACTGCCGTAGTTAGCCATAAACGACCTCTCGGCCGGTGTCAAATCCTTTTTTTCCTTAAGTTCTTCGTACTTCTTCTGATCTGCCTTGTGACTGTCTGAATTTTGCTCTTCATCCACGAAGCAGTAGTGCTGCAGTCGCTTGGAACATGCGGCAGTGAGGGTACTCACAGCCAGTGTTGACCACGGCTGCAACAGTTGCGAGTCCATCACCCGTATCAACTGTTCGGCTATTTGGTCCGACACAGACTTCATCATCATGCTGAACGATTCTAAATCAATTTCGACAAATTTCGCATAGAAACTCTCTATGAAAGCAATGCTCTTGCCAACGTCATCCGTCATCGAGTCGCTGTCATCGTTTCCAAATTCTACTAAAATCGCATCAGGATTTGTCTCCCAGACTTCCGAGAACTTGTCTATCTTTCTCTTGAGCTCTTTGGACTCCTTGACCAAGTCACTCTGGGACACGTTGAAATTGTCGACATCGTCCAAGATGTCGAGTTGCTTGAGCTTACCGGCAATTAATGCCGCATTGTCCTTTTTAATCTTGAGATATCTGTGGAATACTAGACTAATCGTCATAGAATTGCTATCCATACGCCTGAGCTTTGCCACTAATGCTTTGACAACGTTGTCAGTCAGTGTTTTCACCTGATGGAGGCCGTTGAGCGTGCCGATAACTCTGATAGCCATACTCGCGTTGCTTCCACACCTGCTCGGGTCAGACAGAACACCTTTGAGTAACGGTAAACCGATCGAGTCCCACTGCTTCTGCATAAAGTCGTGCCGAGGACTGACAGTTTCCGAAACAATTTGATCAACTTTGGACTGAAGTTGACGAGAGTTTGTTGCCAGGTCGATTGCGTACATTTT